GCACAGAAAACATAACCTCCTTAGCGTAGGTAATAATGCCAGGCTGTGGTAGTAAAATGAGACTAGGATCCTGAGGATTGCATGCTTTTAATAACATTAACTAGATTAATAAAATGTAAACCATTCAGTCCCTGAATCCATGGTTTGGACACTTGTAACTTGATATTTAGCTTTCCCTGAGCCTATTAACTACTGTACATTAGGATTCAATAAACAAAAAATAAAGCTGGCTTCAAGGCCATTACATGACTATCTAGACACCAAACCTACTTGGTCTTAGATGAAACACTTAAGCTGATTCCTAAATACGTTTTAATAATAAACTCAGAAACAGTATGAACACAGCATAAAGTGTACTCTGAGCTCTTAGTAGTGACAAAAAGCAGAACTCTCTGTGGTCTTCTCAATAGCAGCCATCATGTGTGCCTCTGTGTTGTTGTTGCCAGGTGACTAATGAGCCTCCTAAAGGCCTGCGAGCCAACATGCGACGAGCCTTCACAGAGATCTCCAGCAATTTCTTTGAAAACCACGTTCTGGAGCGCCAGTGGAGGAAGATTGTCTTTGGAATCTGCTTTTTCCACGCAATCATCCAGGTTACACACTGTCTCTTAAAATCCCACACATCATAGATCATTACTGCTTTGTGTGCCTGTGTATGATTCACTCTCTTTTATGCTGTTGTACGTGTTTTGTGTGGGTATGTCCTTTTATTTATGTCCTTATTTATGTGGCTTGTATTGCACATGTCTTAGGAGCGGAAGAAGTTTGGTCCTCTGGGCTGGAACATTCCCTATGAGTTTAACGACAGTGACAGGGAGTGCGCTCTGCTCAACCTCAACCTCTACTGCAAAGACGGCACCATCCCTTGGGACGCTCTCATCTACATCACTGGTAGGGAGGCCTACACACATCCATTTAAACGCGTACAGGCACATACAGTATGTACAGCACAAGCTTATACATTAGGGATTGTGTATGTGTGGCATACTACTCCAATCACATTGTTTATATGATACACATTAATGTGGCTCTGAAAGTACAACATTGTGAAGTGCAATGTGCAAAGCATTACATAAAACCTCAGATTGTTTGGCTTTAAACAGACGAAGTGTGGATGGAAACAGTCTCTTGCTGTCACTAAGGTTTGTTTGTTGTGTTGCCAGTGTGTGGCACGACTGCACACTGTTGTTTTGTCAACAGCACACACATTTTCAGCATCATGTGAAATGGAAAATGCAAAATGTTTGCTGATTTCACAAAGCGGGGCAGTTCTGTAACACGATTTCACTCTGTTCTGCAGCTGTGATCCCGTGTTTGTTCAACTTTCACTCAGTGAACTTTTGCTGCTCTCTCTTGGCTTTGTGTTTATAGAAATTAAATTAAAAGAAAGATGTTCCCATGATCAGCAATGCTCTTTTTCTACGTCAAACCCAGCAGATAAAGAAATGAAAATGTTGCGGCTGTGAAGTCAAATCACGGCATTTATCATGACACATGGGAATGTCCGCCCCATTGATATCTATGAGGGTAGACTAAATATTAGAAACACCTCCCAGTATAACGCAGTACAATTCAACAGCACCACAAACTGCAATCTCCAAAATGACCATAAAGTTGATTCAACATCTCTCAGAACATTATAACCTGCATGAAGGTAGGATTTATTGCAGGACTGTTGTACTCGACTGTATGACTTTTAGCTGAGTCTACCTAATAAACTAAACACTGTGTTTAATCTATCTGTGGCAAATTTCGGTCAAATGAAATTAGTTGACATATCTTTACAAATACTGACATAGTTTAAATGGAAAATTACATTTCAGGACAATTTTGTCATAACCATACTTTAGCAAGGTTATAAGTTTAAACCTTTGTCAATTACATTTTTATCTAAATTTAGTTACTATGTAATATACTCTGGACACACAAGAAATTTCAGTTGAATTTAATTATGTCAGTTTAATATTGTTTGTCCTGGAGTTCCATAACATCCTTAAAGTTATTAGGAAGGAGAGGGAAGGATCTCTTTCATTAACAATACTCATCATATCTCTTAAATTCATTTGTTTCCCTAATCTGGTTTTCAATTACACCTCCAAATGATTATGTTCAGTCTCGGTGGAGCGCGCCACTCCGCCATCAAATTGATGTCTCTCATTGTTGTTATCACACTACTGTGTTATTAGTTTAATCCTTTATTCTAACAGTCCTTGTGTGCCAGAGCTACACACTCTTTGTGGGAAAGAATTTTGGCTCAAACCAAGCATGATATCGCCTTTCCTCTTTTAGGAAGAGCGGTTTCTCTCTTCTGGGGCAAAAAAGAAAAATCTCTGCCAGCTTTAACAAGCCTGCAGCTTACTAAAGGCTTCAACAGAGATTTGTCTGATTATTCCCTTCCTTCCTTACTGTCTTATATAACTGTGTCTTTACAGTAAGTATGGATTTTGAAGTGTTGAATTGCAAATGTTTAAATATAATTTAAATTTGATCTCCTTTTTATGCTCTTTGGTAATAGCTACCCTCCAGCCATGCTTGTCTTTTCACAAGTCCTTTTGCGTGTCTTCATGTCATTGCCTGCTAGCCACACATGTCTGCCTCTCAGTGCTGTGTCAAAGAACTGAAGACAACCCTGAACAAAAATGTGTGGCTGGTATCACACTATTGTTTACATCTTTTCATGTCACTGTGAAAAAGGTTATTGTATGATTATTGTTAATGTAGCTGTATGTTTAAACTAGAACTTTGTAATTTGCGTATAATCTTCTTTACACTTACATATATGTAATAAACAAATTAACAGTCACAATGCAAGTCAGACCACGTGTTTAGCGCTCTGATGCGAGTGCGTCTGCTTTTCTCTGTCAGCTGTGGGAGAACTGTACATAAAACATGGTGAAGCAGCAGCGCTTCATTTATGTAGTGTAGAGAAAAGAGGAAGTATCCAGGGTTTAAGATACTCCCATACTTGAGATTATGTTTGGTCTAAAGCTGCAATATGCACGTTTGTGAAGTTTTTATTAACATTTTAACAACAATAAATAAATAGGGTGTATAATGCAAACTGTATCTGTGCATGACCCCTTATATCCAAACATTCCCCAACTGCCTGCCTTTGGAGCCTGACTGCTGTTTGTTTATTTTCTTGAAATTGCTTCTTTTTTGTTTTTGAATGCCTGTGATTGTAACTGTGACGGTTTCCTTGGCCTCAGGCTCAGTGTTGGCTGATCAAGATGAGTGACATGGTGCAGTGTGAAGCTGCCCAGCTGAGGATATTTCTTCAGGTTTTCCTTTCTCCTGACATTGTGTACTTGACAGTCATTCATCCATATTCAAAATGTTTCTTTAGACTCAGTGTTTTATCATGCTGATTCTGAATGGAAATTTGAACAATTCGAGAGTGGGACTAAAGCAGAGATGTTCATTAAAACCAGCACCTCCTCTAACAGTTACAAAGAAATGCTGATGCAGACTGATAACATCATGTGGTCTTTGTGTCTGTCTCCCCAGGTGAGATCACATATGGAGGCAGAGTGACGGATGCCTGGGACCAACGCTGCCTCAGGACAATCCTCAAAGGCTTCTTCTCGCCTCAAACCCTGGAGCCTGGATACACCTTCTCCTCATCAGGTATTTCAATCAAGCTCTCTCCTTGGCTCTCTGTCCGTACAAAATAACAGGAACACATTAAATATAATGGAATTCAATATAGCAGGTGTGTGTGTGTGTGTGTGTTTGCAAAAGTTTTTCTGAGTGCATGCTCATACCAGTATACTATACATTTTCTTTGGGTGAATTATTTTGCCACTTGTGTGTTTAAGGTATCTACTGTGCCCCAGAGACAGATGAACTAGAGCAATATAAGAAATATATTGAGAGTCTTCCAATCATAGATGATCCAGAGGTCTTCGGCATGCATGAGAATGCCAACCTGGCCTTCCAGGTGAGGGACAATAGTAGTATCTTACCTAAAAAACATACACATCTGTAAAACCTCTGTACATCCCCTTCTATCTGCCTATCTTTTTGTCTGTCCCTCTTTAGATATATACAATCACATTTGATATTCTTTTTACTTTTTTGTGATGGAATCATATGAGCAGATGTAAACTAATTGACTTATTATTTGTTTTCATTTTATTAGTTTGTTTTGCATTTTAACCAATAAATGTCATTGTTTATGAACCTATACATGATTTAATCTGGAGCTGCTCATACAGTTTATGGCTGGCTATAAAAAAAAAAAGTATGAGAGTGCAACTATAAAATATCAGTAAATAAGTCTGTGTGTGTGTGTGTGTGTGTGTGTGTGTGTTTGCCTTCACAGCGCCAAGAAACCATGACTTTAATTAACACCATACTGGATGTTAATCCTCGCTCATCAGCCCGTCATGGAGCTAAAAGTAACGATGACATAGTGTGCGAGCTCGCTGAATCCATCTTAGCCAAGTTACCTGGTACACACACACACACACACACACACACACACACACACACAGTCAGATACTGGTTATTTATTTTAATATTTTTGTATTGTTTACTCTTTGTAAGTCCTGATATTTAGAGCCTGGAACATGGCCATCATTTATCATGTTGTACTGTGTTTGTTTGTTATCTGAGTTGTCTTTCTGTCTACCTGTCCCTGTGCAGCGTGTCTGGACATGGATGAGGCGGTGGAAACTTTGTTTGTCCGAGACGAAAATAGCCGCCTTAACTCCTTGACGACTGTGTTGGGCCAAGAGACAGACCGATTCAACAACCTGCTGAGAGTTCTCAGGGTGACACACACACAGCCAGTAGCCAACTTCGGTCAAAGTTTATTTCTTAGGGCTCTTCATTGTCCTTTCCACCAGCCCACTGTGACGTATGATATTTTTGTGTTTCCCAGTTGTCTCTCATCACTCTGCAGAAGGCCATAGCAGGTCTGGTGGTGATGTCAGAGGAGATGGACCGGATATACACAAGCTTCCTGAACAACCAGGTTCCCACCCACTGGGCGAACTCTGCCTACCCTTCCCTCAAACCCCTGGCCTCCTGGGTCAGAGACCTGACCCTCAGGACCTCCTTTATTCAGGTTTGGATGAGAGCACTTGCTAACATTTAGTTGTATTTACAGGATGTTAAGAAGAATTTGGCTCAATAAAAATAATTTCGATAAACATGTAAATTAATCTATAAATATGATAATAGGATTCCCTTCCTTCTACTGGCCTTTCTTTGTATTATTGACTCTCACACACACTGAGATCTCACTATGCATACTGGTTTGTTAGTCTATGTGCGTAGTCTAGTCTATTTTTGTGTGTTTTCTCATCAAGTCAGAAAACACTAATAATACATGAAATTTCTGCGTTCTTTCCAGAGGACAGACGCATCTCTCTCATTCTCTCTCTCCTCTCTCTCCTCTCTCTCTCTCTCTCTCTCTTCCTCCCTGTACACCCTCTCTCAGCCGTTTGGTTCATCTCCCCTGACTTAAGCTGCTCTTCCGTAAGACTGGTCTGAACATGTGCATTGCACAATCACTAAAATTCACTCCCTCACACACACACACAAAAGACAAACGGGACTGTTGCATTAAAGTGATAAGTAGCCGCTGAGTCAGACTGCACATGTTCACTACCTCAGAAGAGAGAATCCACCTCACTGTGTGTCCAAGTGGAGTCACTGAGTCACTTTCTGGTCCCATAAGTGAAAGGATGCCTGGAATGCTGCATTGCTTGTTGAAAAGTGAACTACACTACACATTGAAAATTATTTAAAGATAAACACATTTTAATTACATCTCTCTCTCTCTCTCTCTCTCTCTCTCTCTCTTTCTGGCTTGCTAGACATGGATCACACACGGTCCGGTCAGCCCAAATCTTTCTGGATCTCTTTCTTCCCTCAAGGCTTTCTTACTGGTAAAACACTGCAGCACCAAAATATCTTCCATGTTTGTAATGAGCCAGAGCAGCAAGGCACATTTCAAAGCTGCTCGAGTATGTATGTTTGTATGTATGTGATCACAAATGCTTAAAGATCATAATGAAATATATGGTACATCTTCTCCTCTGCCTGCTGGCCTGTAGGGGTGCTTCAGAATCATGCCAGGCACTACAATCTGCCCATTGATGAGCTCAACTTCCGCTTCAACATGATGCCGGTGTACAGGGACCAGGTAGCAGTCTGTGAGGCTCTACGCACTCTCCCCAACAACACTAAACTGCTCATGGATGAGGAGGTACCGGAAAAGGGGAGCTGTTATTTGCATGTGATGTTAAATCTAGTCGGTTCCAGTTGTTGCATTTCACACAAGATTGTTGCAGCTACAGCTGCTTTGAAATGAGGTCGTGTTTACTCTGTTCACAAGACAAGTCCATACGAAAACCCTCTCTTGCAGTATTCACAAACTCCAAAGTGGAAGTTTTCTGAACACCCCGAGTTCATCAGTTTGTATAGTGACTTCCCATGTCGTAACCACAAGCTCATTTGAAAGCAGCGTACTATCAAGGCAACAGACATCATACATGTCCATGGGAGGAATAATAAATAATACTAAAAAAAGGTTTGTCAACAAAAAGTAAACACTGAAATAGTGTCTTTTGTTTAACTGTATAAAGATTCAGAAGGCAAAGAAAATGTTATGTTATGTTATGTTGGTAAACCATGTCCAAAAGGAGCAGCTGCAGTCAGAACATTGTGAAAGCATACTATGCACCACTGCTACATAATTTACTTTTTGTGTACACAACAGTTACCAGAGCCAGAGGACGGCGTGCTCGTGCATGGCATGTTCATGGATGCCAGTCGCTGGGACGATGACAACATGGTGATTGAGGATGCGTTACCTCAAGTGATGAACGCTGTGCTGCCAGTGGTGCACTTTGAGCCACAGCGGAACTACGTGCCTGAACCAGACCTCTACCACGCTCCTCTTTACAAGACCTCAGCCAGAGCCGGGACTCTGTCCACCACCGGTACATACAGGGACCCTCACTCACATACTAGTTTACACTTTAGAGCTTTACATTTGAAGGCATTTAGCTGACACATTTGATGCTGCTTGGAGCAGGCGGGGGCTTATTGTTTTGCTTAAGGGCAGTTTAGCATAGAAGTACACCTTGATTGTTTTTGGTGTCCAGAATCTCTTAATCTTTAAGCACTGTTCTGGATAGTTCATTTGATTTGAATGTCCTCACCCTTCATTTCTGTCTCCCTCCAGGTCACTCAACTAATTTTGTTGTGACGGTAATGCTTCCCTCCAAGCGACCCAGCGACTATTGGATATCAAAAGCTTCTGCTCTCCTGTGCCAGCTGGATGATTAAGTCTTTATTAGAGGGCAGAAAGGGATTTTAAATGTGAAACCTTGATTTAACATTGAAGCTTTACGCTGAAAGTGGACTTACTTCACATAAATTGTAAAAAACTCTTCTAATCTGCTTCCTTTGTACACTCATGTATCGGTGGAGGTTAATATCAGTTATATGCTCATCCTGCTGACACTTGATGAGAGCAGTGGAGTACATCCAGATCTCTGAAGATGAGACACACCGTCTCCACGCTGTAAACACCACACACCACATAAACTCACATACTGGAGAGCTCCATTCTTGCTGTGCGATAAGTCACTGGATGAAATGCTTACTGAAAATTACAGTGCACATATAGCCTCGGGGAGAGAAAAGACGGAGGGATGGACGGCAGAATACATACAGTATATGGATGGACGGAGATGGGTGGCCTGACACATGGATGTTAATGGTTCACAAAGAGCAAAAAACAGGATAGCTAAGAGGGATGGGTTGAGACAGGAGAAGAAGTGATGATCATCAAATGATGAAATGTTTCCGCCACAACCCCCACACACATCAGCAGCCTATTTGTGTCACTTAGGGCATGCAGTGCAAGCACATAAAATATGTCCCTTCGAACACATTAAGTACACCCACTGCAGTAGTGGGGCAGGGTGCAGACACACTTAATCTCTGTCTCTGTCATACACACACTACCTCCTCCACACCTTACTGCTCTGCTAACGGCAAGCAGGGACGGGCATATATAACATTTTATTTAACATCAACATGGGGAAGAGCAGCACAAAAAAACTGCAGGAGCTCATGTTGCTGTAGAGAGGAGGATAACTTATCAGAAGCATCTTTTTTTTTTCTTTTTTTTTTGCCAACAAAAAGCTCAAAGCTCTACAAATTAAAACCATATTACATACGCCCGCATTTTGTGTTTAAGGGTAATTTAACAGGTTATTTTGACTCTTTACATTATAAGTTTTGCACGCTGGACAAAGCAAAAGTAAGATGTAACATGCAGGTACACTGTTCAAATTATAATACAGTGATAATATGGTTAAATGTGCTGCATCATGATGGTTTTTTATTGAATCTATTATCTGAGAGGAAAAAAACAGTCACAAGTTTGACCAATGTACAACATTTTTCACGTTTGACCCCCATCATAGTTTCTCCTTCTCGCTTGGGGAGGGTAAAAAGAGGCTGTCGCAATCTGCAACTACACCACTACCTGCCCAGTAAATCCTATACATCGGCCCTTTAAACTACCCCTTTATATACAATTAAAATAAAAACAATTCAGTTTTTAAAATGTATATTTCGTTTGGCACAAAATAATGACTGAATAATGATTAAAGGTGCCTTCAAAGGGTTGACAAAAAGAAAGCAGGTTTTGGGGCTTTATTTGTTGTCTTTATACCAAAGACCGAGATAATGTATAGAAACTGCTGTTTACATTACAAGTATGACGCTAGTAATGGAAATATTTTCAGAATGTTGCGTGTAGTACTCGAATGTTGAAGTGGCCCTCCTATGTGTATAAGATAAGCCAATTTGAGGGCCCCTGTTCTACCTGATTACCCGTCACAGTTTTACAGTGTCTTTCTGGTCATCATTCAGTGTTACCTTTCCAATATCTGTCATCTCCCGCTATCACTTCCTCTGTCCTTCACTGTCCCACATGATGCACTTTGATTATTACACCGACGTATTCTGTTTTTGTGAAGGTCGGATGTGTAGCAGAAGCGATGTCATGCTAAAGCTTTCCTAAAGCTGTAAATGGTGATGAGTTTTTTTATTTGTCTATTAATGTCACTTTCATACACATTTAATCACAGATAGTGAAAACAGACAGCTTGATGCACCTGAAAGTAAGTCTCTGTGCTACAACTCTTGCATTGGGAAAGAACAGTGGTCCAGTTCAGTTCATTTAATTGTTTTAATTTTGTGCAATTCCTTCCAACCAGTGAGTACACCACAACTGCATGAATGACTTCACACATGCATGATGATTTTCTGCAGCTCTTGTATCAACAGCAACAAAATTACTGGCCTCCTAACCTCTTTTATTAACCTCCTTTCTGCAGATCAATCCTTTATTGAGCTGAGATTATGCACTATGAATAACTATGAATGTACTGTACTGTTATTAGAATAAGAGTCATAATGAAGAGGGGGGGAAAGGAGGCTTGAAGGAGTAAATAAGATTACATGCCCCAGTCACTCTGAACCAGATGAACAATGTTTTATCATCACACACACACACACACACACTTTCATCCCCGTGGATTAAGTCAGAGGGAAGAGGACATGGTTGATGTTGGAAACAGATGGGTCCAAAGGAAAATGTTTTGGGTTTTTTTTAAAGGGGGGGAAAGAAAAAAGTACAGATTAAAAATGATAGTGTGTGAGATTGAGACATAAAGCAAACATAATTAATGAAAACAGCTGTAGGACAATCAGGGCAGCTGTTAACATGAATATATGTCAACTAATCGACATGTTTGCAATGATGAAAAGAACAGATTGGCTGTGGGTCAGCTGTGCTCTCACTGGAGTGCTTTAAATTTGGTTTAATGATGTAGACAACAGTCATCTGAGCTGAACAGAAAATGTGTGATTAGGCAGTGTTTGCATATAAAATGAAACTGTCTAGGTCACACGGGTTAACAGCAATAGATTTCATTAAAAGTTCCACCACAGCAGTGACTTTCAGGTTTGTGGTCATACACTCAAATATTATCCAGCTTGCTTTGTCAGATTTAAAGGAATAGTTTTAGCATTATGGGGAATGTGTAGGGCTGCTCCCTAATAGTCGCTCAATCATTAGTCGCTGATAAGAGTCTTAGTCGACCCACTTTTCATTAATCAGATGAAACAAAAATGTCAAACTCTGTTCAGGAGCTGGCCTTGTCACCAGGACTGGGGTTATTGCAACACGGACCTTTCGTAACAGTGAATCACCTATTCCTATTAGCTGACTGTACCTGGACTGGGAGCTCCAAGGACAGGGGGAGTTTAAAACTGCTAGCGTAGCAGCGGGGCACCCAGTGGGGTATACTGCTCACTAGCAGTGCCGGAATGTGCGACCGAACCACAAACGTGCTACGACTAGTCGACTATTGGCTTGATTAGGAAAGACTTTTGTCAGGGGGAGCCCCAGAAATGTGCATATTTGTTAAAATTGATACCTCTCTTGTCTGTGCACAGGACAAACTGGTTAGCTTAGCATAATGGCAATGCCAATATTTCGGCACAAAACCCAATGTCGCGTTTTACACTTTTTTTTAAAAATGTTACAGTTACCTTCATATAATCCCCTGTGAAAGCATAAATTGTGTTTTTTAGACTCGTTTTTTGTCCGAATTAAACAGATGACCTTTGATGTTGAATGGTGAGCTTTAGATAGGCAGATATTGTTACCTTCAGATAGAGCTAGCTGAGAGTATCTGAGGGTGTGACCCTGAAGAAGCCTTCCACCTCAGAGGTATAAAGTCACACCTGGCAGGGCACGGTCTAAACTAGTGCAGTCCCCACCTGAACACCAGAAGGGTGCGTGTGTGCAGGCAATTATTCTACAAAACACATGGCCATATAGATCTTACAGGAGGGGCAGCTGTGTGGTCTTTACATTACACTTACTGAACAAAGTCAACGGAGATCTGTTCCAGTTGACCTGGCACCAACAGTGGCCCCAAAGAGAGCAAACATTATTCACCAGGATTGTGTAACTCACCCCCCACTTACAACCCAGTTTGGTCTGTCCTATCTCAGGACCAGAAAGAGGGAAGCAACACAGGGACGGTCTTGCAGGGGAGGGTGAACTGGGGACACTGTCTGTGTCAACTCAAGCCCTGTTGGCCAGTGAAAGATTTGTGCATTTGTGTGTGTTTGCATGGTGAGATACAGTGTGGGGCAAATCCAGCCACCAACAGCTGTCTGTCTGCGTGTAGTGAAGCCTGAGATTAGATTTGACCAATTTGAACATGTCATCACTCTGCTGAGCAGCATTTGGTGTATGTGTGTGTGTGTGTGTATGAGCTGCCAAACGTCCTAACTAATATCGCAGGCAGTGAGGAGATTGGATCCCTCCTGACATGGTCTATCTCTGTCATTAATTCCTGCTGGGAAATGAGAAAGGTTGCTGAGCCTTGCTGGCTGAAGACTCACTCTTACATGTTCACCTATCTGAGCTCAGGTTAACCCATCAGCTCGGCACATAGATAAACTTAAAAACTTTGACTAACTGTGCGGTAGTCTGAAACTTTGGCTGCATGCACATATAACTATACCTGAAAAGCAAATTAATGATGGAACACACACACACACACACACACCCCATTTAGAAATATTGTTCCCAAGACAGAGAACCCCATCATGTTTGGATTTAGTGTATACGAAATGTTAATATTCAACTAGAATGAAATTAATAGTTTCTTCTTCCATTAGTGTGGAGCAATGCTGAAAAATGTCAGTTTTTGTTTGTCAATCAAAAATAAAAAGGAAGAAAAAAAAGAGAGCAGCCTGGTTTCATAAATCAACAGATGCTGCGCTCAGCTGTCGACATCTCTATCACACTGTGTCATTCTGCAATGAACGAGTCCACGCACAAAACACTAAAACATCAAAAATGATTTGCTGGAGATTTAGACAGCTTGGGAAATGTACTTATTTACTTTCTTGCCGAGAGTTAGATGAGAAGATCGATAGGCCTACTACTGTTGTGTCTGTCCATTTAATATAAAGCCAGAGCCACGAGACTGTCAGCTTATTTTATCCCAAAAGGGGAAGACACAGATTAACACAATTTGGCCTTTTTACTCTGCTTTTGTATGATACGAGTTAATTAATGCACTGTAGTAGGTTAAATATGAAGCTACAGCCATCAAAAATACTGGAAACATGAGGAACCTGCTAACCTGGTGTTGTCTAAGGTAACAAAATCTGTGTATCATGACCAGTAACTTCCTGGAGTCTTGCTTTAGGGGTGCTGTACAGCACATATCTGACAGTGGTAGCGTCCAATCTTCTTATGTAACTGTTGGCAAGAAAGCAAATAAGTATATTTCCAAACTGTCAAACTAGTTTAAAACTTTTAATCTTTCCTCTTTTCTGTCGGTTTGAGTTTTTTAAGCTCTGAATTGCCACATTTCATAGAACTACATTGTATGTGAACAATAATATGGCATCACACGCTGTGATTAATCAGGCACATCAGGCAACAAGCTGCCATTACACTGTCAGTCCAGTTAGATTGACGACAGCGACCCTGTTATAACCCAGTCACTTAAACGAAAGGAAAAAGGCTGCTCTGAGAGCAGTACTGGGTGAATTGTAGCATGTCAGCCACTCAAATGCCAGTAATTATCACATTTCTCCTTTATTGTCCTCAAAATAGTCATGTACAGTGAGCAAGGAGAATGAATACTGAGCAGAGAGGCACAGACCACAAAGAAAAAGACGCTCAAGTTGACAGAAATACAACACTGGTGATTAAAAAAAGCCTGTGATAGCATGGCAAAAGCAGACACCTCATTTTACATGTACTTTTCAATATCAGTCAACACGATTTCACATTTGCAACAGTGATATTTGAGCTAGTCGTATGGTTTCAGCTTGGATCTAGCTTTGACTTGTAAATTGCAAAATGTATTTTACCCTGAATACCTTATAATCCTTTCATATTTTCAGTACAGACTCATTTTAGAGGTTCCATCATTCATTCATTTGACGCACTATGAACACTTTTACGTCCCATAAATGCTTCTCACATGAAAAACATATGCTCAATAGACATTAACATGAGTGAGTAACAATAGAAATGGGTCAGGTTATCTCACAAAGTATCTACATAATTGGCTGTCATCAGTTGTCAGTCCAAGTCACATGTATGTAGAGCTTACTCCACGTCTCTCATATGAGTCATTACGTCTCCACTGTTCATATAGTCCAAGATCAGTCAGTGATCAAGATTTTCAAATGATTCCTCGATCTGTTACGCAACATACTTAGAGCAGCTAAAAGCAGCCTCTACCCATTTCTGTCCATGAACTTTGACATGCAAAATAACAACCCAGCATTGGTTCCTTAAAATAAAAAACAATGAAAACAATTTTATTCTTTTAGATCATCAGTAATCAGTTTTCAGTCTTCACCTGCAGTAACCCTTACAATCTGCAATCCTCACAATGTGGAATGACAAATGGGCATTGTTAGAGGAACAGTTGCCACTCGTTACATATGAAGCTATGGTCAGCAGCCATTTGTGCTCTTTTTTTAAACACCATATTTGTTGTGTTTAAACCAAATAAATCTCAGTCCTGGAGTCACAGAGTGAATTGAAGATAGTCAGTGGGTGGCAGCTATTTGTCAGCACTCGGCCCATTGATTAACTGTAACAACATGAATTCAATTTCTGTGACTATTCGGCAGCAGTCACACATGCACTGTATTTAGTTGTTTTCATTCTTCCTCGATTCCACTTAAAACTAAAATGGAGAGGTCTGTGAGCTCAGTTGCTTGTGTAAAAGTGGGAATTCACATGTGCCTTCTACCACTGAGAATCAGAGGGGATTCTCGGGTGGTGAGAAGAGACAAGGTTTAACGCAAATCTGTTACATAAGGTTACCCAGTAATCCTTGTTGCATGTTGTTGCTGCAGATTAGAGAAGACAGTGTTTGCCTTTCGCTGAGTATTACAAAGTAAAAACAAAAAGGACTCTGCACTACAAAAGATTAGTGCCAAATGCATCCGGGTGGTTCAGACTTCTGAATCCATTTGAAAATCCTTCACAAGAACAAATATTGTCTTTCAACCACTACTTGTTTTTTGATCTTCATTGTGAGTTTCTCCCCAAATATAGCAACACATACTGTAAGTCAGATAAATATTGAATTGCTCTCAAAAGATAAATGCATTGTAAATGAATAAGTGATTTACACATAGCCAGAGGTTTTTGTATGCTAACCACACTAAATATACTGTTTAACACAAGTAATAGAGGCAACGAGAGGATGTTGGAATATCCCTTCTGAAATGACTTCACACTTTCATAAACTGTCTTGAAAAGAGCAAAACTGTAAAAATGTCTTTGAAGTCAATTAAGTATGACTTTCACTGGTATTCACATTTATGGGTACAGAACCTGGGTCTACGCTGTGCAAGAAGGAAATGAGGAGATTGGTGGCAACAAAGGAAATGCAAGTAAATAATGAGGATAACTAAGGTAAGTAAGAAACAACCTAATATAAGAGAGTGACAGGATGGAGATGTTTAAAGTACAGCTGAAACAAGTAGTCAATAAATTGATTATTAATAAACCATTTGAGTTGTTTTTCAAGATAAAAAAGCCTAACGTTTGTTCTGTGCAGAAGTGATGCTTTTCTTTGTCATATATGATAGCAAACTGAATATTCTTGGGATATTATAACAGACATTTTTCACTATTTTCTGACATTTCTATATACAAAAACGACTTATCAAATAAAATGAAAAATTATCAGATGAATCGAAAGTTAAAATAATCATTAGTGGCAGTCCTAGTTAAAGCAGAAGTAAGATGTACAGTGCTGTGAGTTAACACGTCAGTAGCTCTCAGTAAATCCACCAACTTAATAAAAAATATTTCATCTCAACTTCACCACATTTATAAAGTAAGATGTAGATTTATTTACAAAATACAAAAAATTAGCATCACTAGAATAGAGGCTTGAAAAAAACATTTCTAAAACTGTTTATTGAACTCTATTGACTGTACTGTATGTAACTGCTGAAGACATTAAGACGTTCCTAGAAGATGAGAAGTGCGACAGTGGGGGTGGGTGGGGGATGAGTAGAAAAAAGCAGCAGAAATGCAAGAGCTGGAAGTGAAGGAGAGTTAAGAGTATATTCTGATGAGACGTGAAGACCAAGTGGTGGCAGGTAAAAGATGTCAGCAGGGGTACAGATGAAAAGATGAAAAGTGCATTAGTGTGAGTTTCTACATCATTAACTACTGCATGTAACCTCAACCTCCTACGTGGCATACTGTATGTTCGGTGTTAGCTAAGAGAGCCACCTTGAAATGGAAAAAATCACATCAACTCCATACAACCATATACTAGCGAGAAATATGGGAAGATAGAGGGAAAGGTTTGGGTCTGATGTGTTTGACTTCACATAGTTGTAGCAGGGAGGCTTGTGTGGCACAGTTCTAAACGTGTCAGGATTTCTAATGTTAGCTTTGCCTCTCTTTTTTCCTCTCCGAGAGGGAAGAGATCAGCCTTATGTGAAGTCTTTGGACACGGCCTCAATGAAATTGGGAGCTGACATGAGGATGGTGAAGGTGCAGATGATGGAGAAGAGTGAGAAGGCCACCAGGCATAACCGATCCACCACCGCTGCTGCAAACTTCCACTCGCTGCAGATCGCCTCTCCCTCGTCCTGCTCCCGGAAGCGCCTGGCAATATACTGCACTTCCTCCAGGATCCGGGAAATTTCCGGGACCTGCTCCAGTAGCAAAGTCCGCGTCTGTTCTGAGTGGATGTCATGTGGAGAGGAGCTGTTGGGTCGGCCGCCCCCGCCTCCGCCGCTGCACACCACCACGCCTGAATCTGTGCTCGGTGGGAAAGCAGGGTTGTCCGTGCCCATTGAGTGGTAGCCGAAGTAAAGGTTCATGTTCCCGTTGGTTGTGGTTGATTGGGTGGACGCCTGCCCTGGTATAGTGCTCATCTGAATGCTACTGGTGCTGGTGTGGTGGGGGGGAGGGGGCGAGTACTTGTAGCTTGGGGGAATGCTGGAGCTCACAGCTGACTTGTTTTCCTCTCCAGGTTTCTTCATGCGGAGAAACCAAGCGCACCAGTTGAGTAGGATGACTCGGACCTGGATGAAGAGATGAGATAAGGCGGAGAGATGGAAGACAGGTGAGAAGAGGAACTCAAGACAATTAAGATGTTAATTGAATTGAATTGATATGAATGGTTAAAGGAAAAATAGAAAAAAGGCAGGAAGATATAAATACAGAGAGAAATCTAATATAGTCTTATGGCAGTGTGCCATTATAGAAAAGTTGGTGGATTGTTCCATGGTGTCTTTCCATGTCTTGTAATTTAATCCCATCCCATAATCCCATTAAACCCACATTTAATCAAAAGCTTTATCAACCTTAAAATAAAACCTTAAAAATAAATGAATAAATAACAGTATATACCTGCACGGTTATCACCCAATGGTAGTGAAAAATGCTGCTTATGGTGGCCTCTTAAAAACAGTTAAAGTTTGCTAAAAATGCTTTTTTTAGTCAAACCTTTGCGTTGACACAACCTGTGAATAAATGTAACTTTATTATTCCAACAAATTGGAGCCTTAGCCTAGTAACAGCCTAGATGAGTAGTTGACCGTGCCAATATATATAAGTCGTGTGGTTGTTTGAAAATAATGCACTGCCTAGCGCAAATCAGAATTGGCTATTCTCAATTTTAAGTTTGCAGTTACAATTATTTATTTGGTTTAAAAATGATTGTTGACCTACCCATTTAGGCATCTTCCCTCCATGGGGGTCATGGTGGTGGAACTGCAGTACCAGGACTGTTACTACTACAGACAAGCCCACAATCATCATGGTGCTAGCAAAGTACTGAGCTAAAGAGGAGAAGAACACATGAGCATAGCATAGCAGTTTCCATCTGGGATGGAGAAAAATTAGTACAAGGAGAAATCATAGCCTGTTATCTGAATTATTTTCATTTTCAAAAACCTATATATTTACATACAGTATCAGAGAAAACGTGAAGAAGAAGCATGATAGGGTAAACATTTGGCAGGACTTTTGCCAAGTCAGTTATTTGGTTGGTTAGTCAGTGGAGAGTTTTTCCCCATCAACAAACCTAAGGTCATAACACCACAGGGGCTGGTAGGAGGATGACGAACATTTAAATTCATAGTGTACAGACCGGCCAAAAAAAACACACGCTTGCAGGCATTTAAAAGCCACAGAGAAATGAAAATACATACCATATGTAAGCTTGCTACCTTGTCTACACACACTACTACACATAAACCACGTGTTCCCCTCTAAATAAGAAGTCATTTTTCATTTTGATCCAGCTGTGATGTCAGTAGCCTCACAGAGAGGCAGACCAATCACATTTTCTGTAAACATGTCAAAGTGTAATTGGAGCTGTATGAAAACCTGTCAGAGCGAACGCTGAGGAGCATTTTATTTTGTCTTCAATCTATCAGTTCTGCTCCATCTGCAGTGTGTTAATATGTGTACTCCAATAACGGCGGGTTTGCTAATGGCTTCGTTTTACATCACTGAACTACCAAATGAAACCGAGCATCCCTGTCTGCAGCCTCCCCTCCCTCCCGTCTCATGGCCGGCTGCCTTGTCTCTTCTGGTCTGTATCAGTGTGACCTTATACAATGCAACTCATCTCCCACACCGAGAGTAATCTTCACGTCCTGCATCAGCAACCTCCCATGCCCAGCCCCTCCCCTCTCAGCTCTGCCTGTGTCGCCACATACGTTATACTGCCTGTAGTGTGAATATGGGGGGTAAATATCTCAATGATAGTCTTAAGATATAGTTAATGAGGAAAAATCTCCACACTGACCCACCAACCACGCTGGAGCACATGCTGTAGCCTGTCCAACATGCGCCTAAATCTCCACCATCATATTTTAATATCATGAGTTTTAATGTGGAACACTTCCCCATATTCTGCTTTGTTTCATTGCAATTTACCAAACTGCTTGAATGTACTGTCTTAAAGGAACAGTTCAACATTTTGGGAAATATGTTTATTTACTATTCTAGCCAAAAGTTGGACGAGAAGATTGATACCACAGTTGTGTTTCAACAAAACTCGGGGGAAATTTTCAGTTTGCAAGAAAAATGATCCCAGAGCTTTATGCTTTCTAAACTTACGGAGACAAGAAAAAAAGACAGTTCTGGAATCAGTCACACAAACAGGCACGCTCACACACACTGTTGGTGTGTCCGTTAATTTGTGTACATTATTGACATATATAAAGATGGACGACATTACAAAAAGTGAAAAGTGAAGCAGAAACATCACCATCGCCCTCTGATGGTTGACTGCAGTATAGGTCATAAAGCCCACTGACTCCATGCAGCTAGGTTCCAAACAAAACTTTGTACAGTCAAAATGGTTGCTGTGAAAATGGTCCATTAACAATGACATAGCAAGTAATATAAATAATGTTAGCTATGTCAGCTAACATGCAGAGGACGAGGCGGTTTCCCAGAGCCAGCAAACCAGCTTTAGACAGCGATACTCACAACTGTCCTGCTACTTTAGCTAACATCACAACAACATTGAGTAAGCTGACAGTAAGCCTCAGTAAGCTGAATGTCCACCACAAGTCATTTAAGATGACCTGACACACAAATCCTGGACTGGAATGGCTTAAATAACAACACGCATATATATGTATTACAAAATTGTGTTGTGTGGCTCAGTCTGATCCACTTTGTTTGTTTCCCATTATAGATCCAGGGAAAGCCAGCGGACCATGAGGAGATATTCGCAGAATTTGAAAAAAAAGTGTTTTAGAAACACATTACCTACAATCGCTTTCCCCGCATTTAAATCTTGTTTGTTTAATCCATATAAAACTGTCAATTTGAGTTAGATTTATCTTTCTACTTTTGGAAAGATCCAAGTCAGCTGTTAGTAACGGATTACAAGTAACGCACATGAGAGCGGGCTTCACCTGTACTGCAGATGCCAAGGTTTGCCAAGGTATTTGCCTGAAAGAAAAATGTGCACCACCTGTCTTTTGACTAGGATGCAATGAGGACGGAGCAAAACCCAAAACAAGAGGCAGCTTCCAGTGACAATCTCTGGCCACATCTGACCACCTTTTATACCAAAATCTAAAAAGACAACAGTTACATGAAGTGCTGTGCCTCCTGAAAAACACTGAGACCTCCACTTTTAAAAGTTGAACATAATGACAAAAACTTATCTTGTAGCTAGTGGTCTGCTGGACTTTTAAATTGGTACGTAACGTAATGACATCTTCAACGTTAAAGTTGCTCTCATTGCAGTAGCAATCACACCCTAAAAAATATCCAAATGGAAAGCAAATTTTACTTTAAGTCATTTATTAAATAGTTACTTTTTTAATTTTACCTTAGTGGGTTTTTGAAATGGTAATTTCCACTTCCTTGAGTCATTTTTTATGGGAGTAATTGTAGCTTTATATTCACCGTACAGACACTTTCTCATAACTCTGGGCCAGCGTTTATTTCCCAAATAATGTCAAACTATTCTTTAGTTTAAGTTATCTAAATGTTACAAGTCTATCACAAATAGCTAATCATTTTGTGATCATTCATTGATTTTTCTTTCTTTTTCATCACTTTCAAACTCAGAAAATCATCAAAATGAGCAATAATTGGAGCATTAATGTGTCTTACCGATCAGAGGAACAGAGTCTGAAGTGGCGGGCATGATCTCTGCTACCAGTAACATGAATACTGTTAGAGACAGCAGCACTGTGATTCCTGGAGAAAGAGTCAGTAGACAGAGAGATGAGCAAAAAAGTGTATACATTCTTTCATCACAGTACTTTTCTCTTCAATGGTCACTTGAGAGTACTCACAATAAATGCATGTGGTTGCTTTAAAACAGCTGTGGATTTATTTTGGAATATTCACTATCTTTTCTACGCTCAAGGGATTGCAGTTGTATTTACTCTGACCCTGTCTCGCTGAATGGCATTGTGAAACGAGCTGGCATTTTCAGGTCCAGGTGATTATCTTTTCTGTGTTCATTATGGAGCTTTTATTCATCTGCTAATGAATAAAATCCGACACAAATGCTAATTCACAGCTATAATGTCAGCATTAGCATAGAGCAATGACAAATAAATGGGTTAGCAATAGCGTCGGGACCTGGTATGCTGAGATCACCAAGGCGGGGGAGAGACAGACATTTTTGTCTGCATGTATGATTATAATCATGAGTCATTGTCCCTGTTTTTCAGTGTGTGTGTTGTTGTGTGTGTGTGGTGTGTGTGTGGTGTGTGTGTGTGTGTGTCCTGCCCTGTACCCAGTGAGATCTTCTCTCCAGAGTCAGCAGGGAGTAGGAAGACCAACAGGGCCAGACCAGAGATAAGCACGCAGGGGATGAGCAGGTTGAGGCCGTAGTAAAGTGTCCTGCGGCGCATGGTGACCGTGAACGTCACATCGGGGTAGGGCTCCTTACAGCAGTCATAGTACAGCTCATTACGCTTGGCCGGCACACCTGGGGGAGAAATTAAGAGGGGGGAAAGTGTCAATTAGAGGTCAAAGAACTATAAAACGAAGGTCTAGTTCTCAGTGCTTGCCTGAATAATAATTATGAGATCTTGTAAAATAAGCCGTTAGTGTGCAGATGTGGCTACCGCTTTCAGTATGAATGCCATTTTAAAGTTAATACAGTTGTTATTGGTACCATTTAAATATGGTTGAAAGAGGAGATTTATGGTAAGAAGGTTAGTTTAAAACATTGGACAGAAAGGAAAAAATTTGATTCAGTGAAAAAATGATAAATGCTCCTCTTTCACATTGTCAATGTACCTTTAAAGAAGGTAATAATGCAGTTTACTGCAAGCAGACATTTTATTTTAACATATACAGGGCAGTAGGTTATGGATTTAATATCAGTCTTTCCAAAATCCTTCAAATATGCCACTAAATCCACATTTATTGTATCTGAAGGTACATTTCCAGACTAACCAAACACAGATAAAGGAGATGTTGTGATTTTAGGAAGATTAGGATTTTGCCATTAACGTATTGTCTTGGAAACCATGTGGGAAGCAGCTTGTCGCTGAAATACAGCAAATGCACTCTTGCCTAAGTTAATACTATACACAATACAATGATGTTATGATGTAATCTTTTATATAAAACAATAATCTGCTTAAAACTATTGTGCATAACAACACATTTTAGCTGATCTAAAATCACTCTAAAGCATAGCTTATTGTGTTCTAAACAGACAGAAAGAGGTTAAAGTTCAAGGGTTGAGTCATAAATAATGTTTTTGTCAAAATGGCAGCCACCTTTTTGAGAGCACTCTTTTAATTCTGAATCTGTACACTGTCTGATTGGCTGTAAACTCTTGGTCCTTACTGGATCTGTCATTGGACGACATTCAGTGAAACAAAGACTGGTGAAGTTTATGTATAGTCCAATGTCACATCCAGTGTTGTCAACAGACTTTACAGCAACAGTTCCTGATGCAATGCAAGGCCATTTGTTTATATAGCACAATTAATATTGAGTGTCAGCTCAAAGTGCTTTACAAATTGCTTTTATAAGGTAAATAAAGACAGGATGAAAACATCAAACGAGATGATCAATAAATTGTAAATTGTAAAACCAAAACAGGGACCAAAGTTCAATTATAGGCAGCAGTGAACAGGCAGGTTCACATTTCACAAATCTATTTTTAAACAATTTTGACATAACCATATGTCCATTTACAGAGTTATTGGTGGTGTAACTGTCCCTCCTATTCATACCAACTGTGAACAAATCCCTTTCTAAAGCAACTTAAATGATGGAGGACAAAATCCACAGTCGGGTTCTGTGTAAAAGTACATTCTAAAGTTCACATAATATAAGGCTTTAGCAGTCTGCATTTGACAAATCAAGTGGGTATTAAGCTGCAAACTTTTTAGTATTAAATCCCTCCTTTGTGTTACTGTCTGCTGTGACTCATTAAGGAAACTGTCTCTGTCACAAAGGGGGAATTTAATACTAAAAGGTCTGTAATTTTAGAAGATACCCACTTTTGTCTCACTCAGACTGCTAAAGCCTCATATTAACTTTAGAATGTATTTTTCCACAGACTGTAGATTTTGTCACCCATCACTTACATTGAAATTGCTTTAGGATGAGGACTTTACAGCTAGAAGAGACAGGTGGAACAAATACAGCAACCAATTACTCCATATGGGTGTACATATGGGGATGTGAGTATAGTTTCAAAAGAGTACTCCAGTGATTCAGCATTGCACACCTACAGTGTGCTGCAATAATGAGTCCTAAAACAGAAATAAAAAACAGAAATAAGTTAGCATTATTGTACTTCCGGTTCCCTCCTCTCGTAGTCAGTGGGGATTTTTTTTTTAAACTTTCATGTTTTATTCTCCAAGATATATAATATGTCAGTAAATACCCCACCTGTGAATTTTAAGGTTGTCTGTGAAATTAAACGTACATGGTGTACACGGAGACTTATCCGCTCACTAGTCCATCTTTACAGCCTCGTTGTGTTTATATTTGCACTCTTGCAAATTATTTTAATCCAAACTTTTCAACTTTTTCAACTGACGCTAACGTAATGCAACTGTTGAGTAGCTCACTTATAGCACAGAGCTTATTTTCTGCAATAATCCAAATGTAAAATCTGCTTTTTACCAGGGTGATGCTAACTTCTGGGTTGGGAAAAAATACCTTCAGCATTCTATATCACTGTCAGATTCACATCATTTTAAAAATAGTATCAAAATCGATGCAGCCTGAGCCTGACGCCTATATTACCCACAATGCAAAACTGCAAGAAGTTTGGTAGGAGATTCAGATGTTGTATAGTAGTAGCAGCTGGTGTTGCTGCAAGCTGCTAGCCCGAGACTTTTTTCATTTTCAGTCTTGTACTAAAAACAAGTTCTCTAGGACAAGGAACATAAAATGTATGACTTTAGGGAAAATTGGAAGGGAACTTAGGAGAGGTAATTCAAGAGATGCTGCCCTGGATAGCTGTCCGAGGTGAGAAAAAGGCAGAAAATGCAGAGAAAGTTGTAGCAATTAATTTATTAATAGCAACATAAAGTCCAAAAACGATAAGTCCTATAAACAAATTAATCCAAATGCATATGAGCTACATATGTTTACTCTACAACCTTAGTGTTGAATGTATCATGTTAAGCATAGGTTGGGCAATAGGTACAGCAAAGATCTATCAACAAGCATATAGTGCAGGCTTACATTCAGATCTGAACTTTGCAACCTTCAGATTGTTGTCAACTTCAGATTACCCTGAACCTTCAAAAACTAAATCATTTATTAATCTCTAACGCTTATCGCCTTATTTGTCTTGTTGGCATACTCTCATTTATGCAACTAATCTGCCTTGTACATCCGATCAGCAACAGAAAACAATGTGACCTTGTGCTGGTCACAGTCAAATAAGGACAAAAAAAACTTTGTGTGGTTGTGAGCATGAGAGCTAGTACATAGTTAGACGATTAGTAAGTGTGACTTTGATAGATTGCATGCACAGGACATTTGTGGACTACAGGTAGTGTTATCTTTTCCCTCTGATTAAAAATCAGCAATCTGCAAACTGTGTGTGTTTTTGTGCGAGAGAAAGTCACTTGTGGCTCACAGTCAACAATCAGTAAAAATCACCTTCAAGTGCCCCGAATTTGATTATGATTCAAGCATCACTGTGCAGCTGTATCAATCATTCATACCTTTAAGTGTTGTGATTCTGACTGAAGCCCTGGTGCAACAATATTAGCAACATATTCAAACTATGCAAATCATTTTGTGGTTGAGATGTCACAAAAAAACTTGATTTTAGCCGTGTGTGTATGTGTGTGTGGAAACTGTTCATTCCTGTAGAAATTCAATTTAAAATGCACAAATTCAATTTTCATTCATTTAAACTTTGTCACCAGAACGCTGAAGAGAAATAGCCTTTTTTGGATGGATTGCAGACCTGCAGATGCATCCACCACATCCTGTGTGAGTGTGAGTGTGTGCGCGTCTGTGTGTGTGTGTGTATGCTGGCATGGGTTTTTTCTGAGGCACCAGGACAGTGTGTGTTCTTGGCCAGCTTGCCGCCTGGCTGTGCCTGAATTAAGTGAACCATCCCTGGGCCAGCTGTCACCACACACCCCCATGACCCCTTCCTCCATTCCCCCAGCCAGCTGGGTACACTCACAGCTCACTTTGTGTGTAAGAATGTTTGTGTGTGTGAATGTGAGTTATTCTGTTGGCCTCTGATTAACACCCAAATTTGGGTTAGAGATGATGTGACTTCTTCATTTCCACATGGAGAAAATATTGTGAGGCTTAAGCAGTCTGCAGTAGACAACTCAAGTGGGTATTAAGTTGCAAACTTTTTAGTATTAAATTCCCCCATTGTGTTAGTCTGCTGTGACTCAGTGAGGAAACTATCACAAATGGGGAATTCAATACTAAAAGGTCTGTAATTTTAGAAGATACCCACTTGATTTGTCTCACTCAGACTGCTAAAGCCTCATATTAACTACTGTGGATTTGGTCACCCATCACTTACACTGAAATTGCTTCAGAACAAGGACTTTACAGCCATTGGAGACAGGTGGAACACAGGGGAGGGAAGAAAAGGAATTGGTAAAAAGCTATAAAAGCTCCCAAATTTATTTTCTTATTCCTCTGGCATGTTTTTTTTTTTTAATCATTTACCTCGTTCCACAGTGTTCAATGTCTCACTGATACCTTTCAAGGTTTCCAAATTATGCCAGGTTTTCTGGCCATTTTCCCCATTCATGCTGAAATAACTGATCCATCAGTCCCACCTCAGGTCTGGTAACACATCATTTCCAGGATATGTGTCATATCAATTCATTTCCAAATGTTTCTAAAAAACTCGTCTCTAAAATTTTTCCAGGATGTGTGGGAACGATGACAGCAGCAATATTCTCCAGGCTATCTGTAGCACTCTTTAACCAGGACTGATAGACAAGAGAATGTCAGTGACAACGGCATCTTACAAGAAAGTCGACATCATTGAAACACCTGCTGTCAGAGCTGTGTAATACTGACAATACATCCCCGAATATGACATTAAGGGCCAAGCTAATGTTGAATGTCTCTGTCTGTCTCAGTCTGTCAGAGTCTCAGATTCCCTAAAGGGATTTCCAATTTTCTGCTCAAACATATCCCTCATATATCTGGAGTGCTTTCAGTAATCATCGCATCAGCTCTCACACCTCATCTTTATCCCCCTTATGTCACCAAGTAAATTCTTCAGTTATTTTTGTACTTGGTGATTAAGTTGATCCAGATTCTGTTTCAGATTTATCCATACCAAATGATTACCATAATATTTTGAGACTGACAACATTGCATTCTTATTTTCTGTAATAAACTCAAAATTCTTTTCACTTAGGTAATGATGCATTTGTTTTAACAACTCTGTCACGTTCAGCACACAACCTACACAAAAGCAATGTAAGTAAATATGTTTCTTTATAACCTGATATAAACTGTTGGAGGGTCATGTCTCTGATATCTTATATTTTGTTTTGGTAGTGTTATGCTTGCATCTTACTGCATGTTTCTTCTTACCTACGAGGTCCCATTCCCCATTGGGTATGTAGGTAGAGATGTCTACGTCCATCATCTGGAGGTCCAGCAGCCAGCCGTTGTGGGTCCAGGAGCCAAACTTCAGGTCACACTTCTGCACATCGAATGGGAACCACCGTACATCGATGTAGCAAGTACTCTTCAAGATGCCTGGGGGAGAGTGTTGGGGAAGTTACTTCTGGCACTAAGCGCATACTTCCATTGCTATGTGTGTAATAGTCACATTGCTTGATTTGTTTAAAATCAAAAGTCACTACTGGATTTCAATTTTAAATTATACACCAAAATACCTTATTATTAATATTTTAGTTTTCAGTAACTAAAAATCATTGTTTGAAGGGTAATACAACTAACTTAAATTAACAGAATTTCCATTACAAAAAGTAACCTGAGTTATCAGCATATTTTCTGGGTCGAAACATCCAGTACTAAACTTGATTATAAAGTTAACAAACCATTGAAATGTAGTTAAATCAGTGTTGAAAACGATGGTTATATGAAACCTTGGTATCTGAATACCTTTCGCATTTCCTCACAAATTTGCCTGGTTTTAACTTTGACACCTAGATGTCCTTACACCTGCAGGTCAAATCATGGGGGTGTTTCAGTCAGTGAGTTAGATAGTGAGGAGGATAAAGACAATGATCGAGTTAATGATATCTGTAAAGATGATGATGGTGATCTCAACAGTCCTGATGTGAAAAGATGCGAATGATGGTGAGGATACTGTAAGAACAACCATAAATAATGGTAATACAGTAATACGAAGAATTGAATTTGAAACTTTAGTTATTAGTCTCACCTGGTGGGATGTACTGGCAGGATCCTGAAGCATTTACTAGCACATTTGTATGGAACGTAGCATCAAACCTCTCATCAGCACTGCAGGGAGAGAGTGGATAAGGTAAAAACCATACTGGGGCCCCAAAAAGGCAAATAGACCTCTAGAGAAAAAAGCCAGAAAGGGGAATAAACGGACCAGAGGTTATGACGTTCATTGAGAGTTAAGTAAAAAGGTAAAGACGGATAAAAAGAAAAACCCAGACAATAAACAGCGAGTGAGAATGAAGGTGACAGACGGAGGTAGAGACAGGGGGGATTAGTGTGGATTCAGACAGACAGTGTTTAATTTTACTGATCATCTTTAACAAACATCGTTGTTTGCCATCGAGACGTCCTTCAGGCAGACAGAGATTATGATCAGAAAATAACACATTCCACACAAGAACATAAATCATGGAACACTACAACATTTGAAATGTTCTTTCAGAAAGTAAAAATAAACAGCCAATTTTTAGACTATAATTTCAAATGTTGGTCTTTTTTTACTGGATATAAAATAAGTATGTCAGAAATATTAAGAATTCAGCTTAGGCTAACTGAATAACAAGAGTGGATAGATTTTTAAAATACCCAAAGAAGTGCTAACCTGAGATCACAAGACCATGCAAGAATCTATCTTATCGGGGTTCAATGTAGTATTCAGTCGAAAGTGGTATCGGACCAATCACCCTTTTTTGAAAGTACCTGCCCTTTTCCAAACAGTTTTCTTCCCAGGTGGAAATTAATTAATTACAATTGCATAGTATTCGTTAGGTGATTCCCTGATTTTTCCTTTAATGTCACATTTGTGGTTTTGAGTTGAATATCTTGACAACTATTGGATTTCTTCAGACATTCACATTCCCCTGAATCGTAATCAACTTTGTTGATCCCTAACCTTTCCTCCAGCATCATCATCAGGTCTACATTTTAATCTGTCCAATACTTTGGTTTATGACCAAATACCAGCAAAATGACATTCCCATCAACCTCAGCTGTACTTTGTGTTTCGTGATAATTAGAAAATATTATGCTAAATTTACATGGTAAACATTACACATCAGCATGTTAGCACTGTCACTGTGCACGTTAGTATTTAGTTCAAAGCACAGCTGTGCCCAAGTACAGCCTTACAGAGCTGCAAGTATAGCAAACAAAAACTAAGAACATAACCTCCTTGATAGTAAATGAAATAGTAAAAGGCTTCCTATGATGGCAACATAGAGTTTATTTATTTATTCATAACTAGTATAATATTTATTCATATCTTTCAGTATGCTGTTACCCTCATAGAAACAATGGATGAGATACCCTGAATGCACCTCATTTTGAACAATAACTTTATTCATTTCAATTCAATTCAATTCATTCAAAGCTAGACAAAACAGCTTGACTCAGTACATTTCTACCACTTACAGTAAGAGACTGGTAGCAGCGGGACGAAGCTAGGGGCATGCCTATACTCTTCCTGAAGGCTTTTTGTTCGACAGGTAGAACATAAATTTTAGCAAAGTGCACTGGTACTGAGCCCAGGAGGCATAACAAGACAAGGCTTTACCCAATGCCAGATTTATAGCTGCTACATCAATAATCTAAATCTAATCACTCTTTTCACTTAGCAGAGAGTGGAAAAACTAAGACGCTGTGAGAATACTTTGGAACAGCCGTAATCGCTCTTATCCATTGCCGAGAATAAATGAGCTAAATTAACATTTAGCCTTGTAATGGTATTTGGAATACATCTACCTTACATACAAATTAATAGGGTGGCATTAGCATTCAAAAACAGACCTGCAGTTTCTCATTTTTTAAACCATCAATCAAAATGTGGTAAATATGAAAGGAAATATTTTAAAAGGAACTGTTTTAAATTAAGATTTAGTAAATACCTGGATGAAATATTGATTGTTTAAAACTGTTTTGTGAACCTTGTGAACCTAGAAATGTAGAGACTTACCATACCATGCCTAAACATAGCACAGGTAGCACTTGAGCATCACAGGAGACTTCTTGATGCATAATATTAATCACATTTTAATCAGATCATGTAGAACATGTTCCAAAAATGTCACATGCCATGTGGAAAAGATGAGGACATCATAAAGGCATTGAATACCAATGGAGTCCTTTTACCCGCAATCGGAATTTTACAATTTAACCTTCTTTTTCTTATACCCAGGTGGTCATAATGTTCTGCAGCCCCATACCAACAAACAGTGATGCACTGTGTGTTCCGATACCTTTCTATCAGAACTGGCATTAACTGTTTCAGCAGTTTGAGCTACAGTAGCTTGTCTGTTGGATCGGACCACACGGGCCAGCCTTCACTCCCCACGTGCATCAATGAGCCTTGGCCATGAGCCTGTTTTCTGGTTCACCTCCTTCCTCCTTCCCTTTGACCACTTTTGATAGTAGCTGACCCTCTACAGAGAAGCAAACCTGCTTCTAACACATCAACTTTTGAGAACAAAATGTTCAGCTTGCTGCCTAATATATCACCGAACCCCCCCACTGACAGGAGCCCATGATAACAAGATAGATAATCAGTGTTATTCACTTCACAACTTAGTGCTCCTAATGTTATGGCTGATTGGTGTATATGAGCCATTGAGTGAAAAACCAAAATACACATTTTAAATGCATGTGGAAACATTATTGAAGGAAAGCATCTCCATCGAGATATGCTGCTATGGTAAGTAGACAACATTGTGCTGTCTAGATTTATGAGTAAAATCATCTCTTCATGTAAAAAAAGCAGCCCAACAGTGAGATGGCTTACATTATTTACATGAAAAACATAATGAAAGCAGAAAACTCAGTCCCTTTGCATCCCAGCTCCCCAAGTGTCAGCAGATGGTGAAATATTCAAAAATCATGTATGTGAAAAAAATGGCTCATATATTATTCATCTGAAATGGGTTTAGGATGGTTGCTGTGACATGGGCACATACAAAAACGTATAGCTGTCTACCTTTTCAATCGTCCAGGCTTTACAGCGCTTCATGTCCAAACAGTTTTGGCTAACTTGGAGACTATCCTGCTGTGAACTAAAGAAACAGGCTATCCTGCAACTTGTATAGTGGATGTATGAAAATGCATACCTTTGCATATTCTCTGCAAATGAAATCAAGCCAATAATTGATCTTGGGGCCTGAGGGTTTGTTGTATTAACTACCTTACAATCAAACAATATGTCTGTCTATGTATATGAGGTCCCCAGGCAGCGTCCTCTTCGGCACCCCATCTAGAGGCTCCAAGATCAGATACTGTACTTTAAACTGCCGCATAAGTTTGCCGCATTGGCATAAACAACAGTCAGAGTCTTCCTCTCCAGAACATCTAGTTACAACCCTGTTGTTCTTTCGGAGAAAACTCCAACATAGCAGCACTCAGCCATAGGCTTGTGACCTTTGGTACCTTTCTGCCGTCTGCACCACCTGCTGCTTCTTTAACACCAGAGAGCTGACATTTCATGTGCCCAGAGCGAGTTTTTGTAGACACGCTTTCACCTTCTGCATGTTTAGCAGAGCACCAGACCTCCACACCAAACTCTACATGGTATACCTGAAAGCTTCCCTCCCAGGCTTGGCTCAAGGAGGCGGCCCCAGGCAAGGTAGCTTGAGCCAAAGGTTGCTCTTAAGGCTGGGGTATGCTTGAATCAAACAAGATCGTATGGTCTCAGTCTACCGGTACCGGTTAGATGCGAAATACAATCCAGGAGGTCTAGTTTGACTCACAGATCCATGAATTTGAAGCCTTGTACGCCAAAAACTCTCCATAGTGCTTTATAATACTGTGAGACCGGATATTACAACTCTAGAAAGTTATCATGGTGGCAAATTTAATATTGATTGTCTCTATGGCCGTGAGGTAAACAGTAGAAAGTGATCCACCAAGGATGAGCATGATTCCTGTATTTGATTGGCCACCACTGAATCTTGCCGGATGATGTCAGGTTGCAGTCCATCAAAAGTTGAAACCGGTTTAATTTTTTTTATCAAGATGAGCTCTGTTTTCTTCTGAAGTTAGTCTGAACGTTGCTTTAAGGCGGTTGTCAGATGGTCAAATAGCTTCGGAAACCCCCTCCCACACGCTTTTCCAACATCGGAATTGTTAGGAGTGTGTCAATATCTGCAACTTTCTTAAGCCGATGATCCAACAGTTGTTTACCATGATTGGTCAGTTGTGTGGACGTTAGAAAGGAGGCAGAGTTTAAACTTCTCACTTTCATTCTTGGTACAACTGTTTCTGTCATTTTTCTTGTGAACTACCAAATATAGCACTATAAATGCTTTCATAGTCATTATTCCCATATTTAAACGATAACCACGTGGCGATTCTTAGAATACCCTCTAAGAATTCTGGTATTCATTCTGGTATAATCAAAATACTCTGACCATGTGTGTTTTTTGTATATATAGTTGAAAGCACAGGATAGATGTAGAAGATTCCCAAATGGTGTACTAAATTTTAGCTTCATTCAAATCAAAGCTTTCAGAGAGCCCAATCTCAAAGCTCAGAGCTATTTGTATACCTTATTTAAAAGCTCACAATTGTCTTATTCTGCTTTACTCTTCATAGGTTGAGGATTCCTTCACAGTTGACCTTTTTCCTTATATTCAATTTTTGTATTTGTTATACATACATTTTCTTTGTCTCACTACTGCAATGACCTAATTTCCAGATGGTAATCAGTAAAAGTTCATCTTAGTAGTTTTAATCTCTTTTCTTGGTTGCTTTCTTGCTTCATGAAAATAGAAATGAATGATTTTCCTCCTGATTTATACTGCATGCATAAGGAATGTCAGCTTCAATCTGCTTCTGTGTCAGAACTATATTGTCGTTATCGTTAGTGATCGCTGATCCCCACCGTAAGCTGCTTAATGTTCTGTATCATCCCTGTTAGATAGCCAAACCTCTCCCTTCTCCCTCTCCGTCTCTCATGCACACACACACAGACACACACACACATATGCAACTCGAGCCAAGCGGGAAATCTGTCACTAGCCCCATAAAAGAATCCTCAATCACCTTGAAGGCAGAGCTGAAAAGCCACTGCCATCCGTCAACTTCAACTCTGCCTTGTATCGTGTTGTCTTTACCCCATTACAAGTGTGATACTTTAAGAGTGTTTGTGTGTGTGTGTGTCAGGGAAAAAGACCATGTGGTTCGGAGGCCTGAGAAAGATTGATGCATTGAAAACATCTCACTACCATGTTAAATACCCTTTCTTGGAGCTTGACAGTTTGATAATGGTCAATCTTAAAACTTTTTCCCTCCAGTGTCTTTTACAGTCAGCATCACTATATAAAACAGTTTTACTCACATAAACAGTTGCCCAAGGCAAACTCGAATTTGTTATTTTCTCAAGTGGTATTCCCTAGTACATTAACATGATTTATGTTTAGTGAGGGAAGTCCTCATTCTAGTAAGGATTTTCTTCCATAACTTTGTTTGCGGTGTGAAGAATTTTCAATAACAATAACCAGATAACATCATAGATAGATTATATTTTTTCCCCTTACTGCATTTTATCTAACATATACATTTATCTCGGTATTGCAGGCACAAAAGTAAATAATGAACTCTTCCAGAGCCAAAAAATCTTCAATACAGGAACAAAGAATTTCTGTGAAAGGTAAATATTTTTTTTGATTTCCTTTTTTGCTAGTCCTTCCCTCTGATTATCCTTTTGGACACAGTGTTCCATAATTGGATGCACCACATACAGGCACATTGGCCATAGTGGTTGTTTTTTTCATAGGTCGCAGCTGTTTAGTAATAGGATAAATGTTGTGGATGTTATTTGTTTACCATGTAGGCAGCTGTCCCTAATTTATGTCTGAAAGCGCCATGTGTTTGTGGATACAATTGGTGTCAGATATATTCTTAAAATGTGCACAAAAGCCTGAAACACTGGAACACTGGAAAATGATCAAGTCGCTTATTGGCATTGATTCTAGGGAACGTTCTCAAAAACCCAGCAGGTCTAGACCACATTGTGAATATCAATCTCAGAAGCACCTAGCAACCTAATTTCTCTGGGCAGGCACAGGAGCCTCATCTCCATCCAAACAGCAGAAAGCCAAAATGGCTGAACAGGTTGAATACAAAAGAAGTTCAGTTATACTGACCTATAAATCAAAGAAACCAATGGGCTGTTCTAGAGATATATTATTTCTCCTTCTAACCACCAGTCCCATTCTTGGACAAAAGTATGAAAAGAAATTAGATCAGCCAGATGAATATTTCTAATAAGACCTGTAGTCTGAGTGAACCATCTCTATAAATGGATTCAATTATAACACAAAAAGAAATGACTAAAATATTCCACACAAATAAAGGTACATTATGAAAATGTAATATAGTAGATTAAATTTTGTCTATTCTTCTTAAGTTAGACACACTATTAGTATTCACAGTGGCGTATCTGTTGACATTTTCAGCCACTAGGCACGTTTTCAAATTCAGTCAAATTCCTACTGCCCATCGCAGGCGACAGATGCAAAGCCCCCTGGGAGTTATGGTTTATGTCCTCCCAGAGGAAATCTGTTCAATCATATCATTAAACAAGGCTGTAACCAAGAGTGAAATTTCATCTGGGGAATACATCTTTCCACTGTGTTATTGGGTAAACACAGCCCAGACAATGTAGAGTATCTGTATTACAGAAAACTAATTGTTTTTAAAGGAGGAAGAAATGAGAGAGAGAAGAGAACAGAAAAGATAGAGAAAAATGGCCAGAGCAGTGACAGATTAACAACTGTGCCGATCATGCCAGTGGCCAGTAGCCACTAATATAATTGCCGGCAAAAGTGAGGTTTCATCATTTTAGCTGCCTTTAATCATTCCTCCCTTAATATCAGTGTACTTTATTAAATAATCATTCTAATTCGTAAAACTACACTATGCAGATGATTTTAAATTAAGTATGGTGAGCTAATAAATCAGAGTCGAGGGATTCTGAGGGCCTGTGGAGTAAAGATTAAACATGAACAGTATAAGTACATTAAAAATTATTATACTAAAACTGACTAAATCATTTTATATAATTCTCTGAACTAGCTTGCAAGCTTTCTGTATTACTAACAAGCACAGAAGTTGCTGGGAGAGGAGAGGAACGAGACAAGACTAGGCGAGTCAACAGAGCAAAAGGTTGTGAGCATACCCTACCTGTTGTAGAGGAGGATATCTGGGACCCATACCAGATTGGAAGGGAAACGCAGGTTCTGAACCCCAGGGTAGCTGTCTGGGTTCCATGAAAGGTAGATGTCTGTCCAATACTGAAACAAACAACAGAGAAGGTAAAAGAGTCAATATAAAAAGCAGACGATGAGTTGAGGGCATAAAAACGAGAATAAAACATGATTATAAAAGTTAAGAGAGCAAATGACAGAATGAAGAGAGAAAAAACAGAGGTTGAACTAAAATGAGATCAATGGCACATTTAAGGCTCTTTACTGTAATCTGTTCTTGGTTTGTATCCAAGCCAGGCGAGCCAATTTGTTGTTTTTGTTGTTGATGATATCTTGTCTGGCGAGGCAGCATATTAGCAACATTCACAGCTTAAACAGTGTTGGTACAATGCCACGCAAACTGCATGTATCACCTGTGCGTCATAGCATCTTTCCTCAAATATAAAACATATCCTGCCACACAGCAACTACGCAAAACCAAAGTGCATCAGAACTTCCTTTAGAATTATGGTCAACCATAATACATGAGATGTCAAACATTGTCCCTTAACCCAGGCTAAGCTGTCTCCTGCTCTGTTAATAGAGCCTGGCAGTTAAACCTTGCCAAGCTGACAGTTGTTGGCACTGACCTCTGCACTCCTATTTGAGCCTGGTCCATATTCAGCAAGGGTCTAACAGAGCCCAGCATCAAATTGTTTAAAAGCACCAAGAGTAAATGGGTGCCACCTCTGTGCCTCTTTTTATGACTTACAATAGCTAGCAAGGTGATGTGTGATCTCTGGAATGGTATTCATATGAGTGTGTTTTGGCATGTAAGCACATTTATTTTGTGTTTGTTACTGGTGAGTGTGTGTCTAGTATATGTATAGAAGACAGATATAGACGGAGGCACTCAGATGTTGTAGCCATAGGGCCCATCTCTATGGAGCAAACACAGTCCCGTTACTAATGTGGCCACAGTACACCGGGCACATCTGTGCCTATATGTACGTGTGTATGTTTGTGTGTATACATATTTGCACATGGACGTGTGGGATGTTGTGCTGGCATAAATGTGCTCTTGGAACTGATGTACGTTTCCGTGCTCATGCAAACCTATCAGCATATGTGCCTCTGTCCATGTAAGTCATTACATTTATACCTTACAATCAACTCAACATCTTAAATAGAAAGTGTCTGATTTGAACTTTTCCGCCACCACCAAGGGATGCCATCCATCTAAAGTGGGCTTGCTGACATGTGTCTCCACTCACGCAGCTAATGACTTAATCACTACACTTGTCATCTGTGGGCCTTGGCGGTTTGGTGCTAGAGAGCCTTCTTTTCATGTTCGTTGGCTGGGAAAGCACAACTAACAGCCAACAGAACAAATTACAGCTCAGTAACTTTGTAGTCTGTCAGGAACAGATGAGAAGGACACTAGGCTACGTGAGGTAACAGCTGTCTAAGAATAGGTTTCGGAGTTACATAACAAAAATTTAAGAAAGCGTCACTAATTTGAGACAACTAGGTTTCTTATTAAGAGAGTGTGATATTCTCTGAATGCAAGACTGTTTCAGGATTATATGTTTAAGGGTGTGGAATGCAAAAATGCAGTATGTATAGGTAATAGCTAAATAAGTTGGGCTGATAAATAATTCGCACTGATTGATTTTTGTTATTTGTTTGTTATTAATGACCTTCTGTGCATTCCATGCTCATATAGCCTCCTCACACCAGTCTGCTATCACAGCAAAGCCTCCCTAGCAAGAACTTTACAGGCCTACTACTACAAAAGAGATTTGTAACAATAATAATACACTTATAACAATATAACAATAACACTTGTATTTAGGTCACATCTGGATTTAAGCCATTTTGGATTTCATCTGTCATATTTTTGCCTTCACCCAAAAACAATGGAGGTGAATAGAATTTAATTTGTGGTGCTCACAGCAATGGATAAATGTATATTTCAACAGTAAGATATCTTTCCAGAAATAGTGTCCTGGTTACTCTGGATAATCCACGGACTTCACTGTGAACAGGTGTTATGAGGACAATTTCTTCAGTAGAATATAGTTCCAGTGAAAAGAAACCTGTTGACAGCATGATCTGAGGATTATTAAAATTCACAGCAACACAGTTCCTGGAAAGACACATTACTGATTCATTTTTTTTAATCTTTCAGAGTGGTAAGCACCACAAACACAGTTCCATTCACTTACATTATATTCAGATGGAGGAAATATCCGAGACAAATATCTTAAAATCTAGGTGAAACAATTTTTAGGTAAATTGGGTGAACTGACCTTTAAAGGCACTCTTCCATCAGCCATAAGAGCTGGCTATAGAGGACAACACTAAAGTTGCACCCAGTTCTTAGAAAACTAAAGCTCTTTACAATTATCACAGTTAAAAACCGCATAAAATCCAATCCATTCAGATATGGGACATTCATTGCCTGATAAACCTGTAATCCTAAAATCCTCCGCGATGTAGCAGAGGTGAACCTGCCCCTTCTCTGTTTGACTGTCTGTGAGCTAGTTTATGTACTGCTCAAGCCTCCTTCAAAATCTGCTGCATCTGCAAAGCCCCCTTAAGCCATTACACCAAAGTGAATGCCAGTATTAAAGAGGTGGCTTCCTGAATAATTGATTCATTCATAACTTGTAAGCCAGTCAGCGGCCAACTCAACCTGACTGAGCACAGGCTGTGAAATCCTTAATGGGCTGTTCTGACTGAGGCTGCTGTGATAATGAGGCTGTTGTACCTACCTGACTGGCTTGATGTAACGTTTTCCTGAGCATTGTAATGCATATTTCTTGTACCATTAACTCTACATACCTTTCAACTTTACATAATGGGATAAATGTGCTGTAGCTGAACTAAATAGCTTAGTTTCCACATGCTTAGAGTGAAATACAGATGCTGTTAGGAATCTCACAATTGACTGTTCACTAAAACCCTCTCCCGATCACAGTTTAGCAACTGTAACTAGGCACAGCACATCTGTCGGGGTTTCCCCACATGCCAAAGTGGTTGCGTGGTAGGGCTGTGGTAAGAGCAATACTCTGCATCAAAAGTTTATATTGTTCCTTTCCAAAACTAAAACAATATTTTTTAGCTAAAGTATAAGGAATGGATGTGTTTGGCTGTGTTTGTCTGTTCTTATCATAGACTTATATAAAACATTGACGTGGTCTCCTTGACGTCATAGATTTCTGAAGGGCCATTGTGAAGCTCAGTGTGGCAGCTCCAGCCGTCACCATCTTGGCAGTGCCTGACTCCATCTAACTCCCGGCTAATCCAACAATAGGCAAAGACGTGGAGTGTGGGTGGAGCTGAAGCAGGCTGAATGACGTCTAGTTGCTGAAACCAGCCACCTGTGACAAGACCCACCAAAGCGAAGCCTTATGCATAACATAAAGCCTTATATAATTGTTTTTGTACAAGGCTGAAAACATGTTTATTTCTGCTGTGAAGCTGTGCATTTTATCATGGGGGCCTATAGAGATCGCTTTTGGAGCTAGCCTCAATTGGCCATTTGAGGAACTGCAGCTTTCGCCACTACAGCGTTGGCTTTATTTTTCAGCCATTAAGGTTGCTGCTTGGTTCTAACGTAAGATGTCATCCTTAGTATGCATACAGTTAAAACTGAGTGTTACTTCCAAGGCCAAGAGTTACAGGAGCATATCATTAACTACCTTTACTACAACCTCACTACATTAGCTTGGGAAGTTTACGCTCCACCAGACAGGTTTAGACAGCCAGACAGGTTTATGTTTAAATAAAATAATAAATAGTATAATATTACATTTTTCCTTATGTCTGTGTTTTCCAGGTCTTCAACTGGTAAGGATGCTGGATTCTTGGAACATTGAGGTTTAGCCTCTTTTAGCACATTATTATTTAGGTAGCCATCAAGTGCATATAAAACGCCTTTGGAGTTTTCGTTGTAAAAAGAGTCACCTGTAAAGATTAAAAAGTCAGCTGGAGACAGCGTTGTCAGTCAGCTCATGGAGCTAATTTTAGCTTAATTAGCTAGCTAGATACTGTTGATAATCTGCATTTTCAGACAAAATCAAGGCAGAAATGAGAAACCTGCTTTTGTCTGTGGAAATCAATGACCAGCAAATTACTCAAGTTGACGTTCTACACCATTATTATAGAATGGAAAGCTTACTGGTGTAACAACAGTATCTAAAGGGCCAGGTCTTAGCTAATGGTCAACTGACACTAAAAATAATCACACCTCACACCTCACTCTGCAGTAAAGCAAATATGAAATATAAAGCTTAAAAAGACAAAAGATAGTAACCCAGTGTTGGCTGAGAAATTTTTAGTGCTTTGTTTCTATTACCTTTTTAACCCATGTATTTTAACTTATGTGAAGTGCCTTTGAGTTCCTTGAAAAGCGCACTATAAATAAAATGTATTAATGTTAAATGTCTGGAGAAAATATCTTTAAAAACATGATTTGCTGGCTAAATAAGATATTTTTATCCTCACCTTCCTGTGACATAGCCTAATGCTGCGATAGAACATGCTATTATTAAATATCTTAAAAGAATAATAACCCACAAAATATAATTTTTGACACAATGTTACTGCTTTTTGTAGGCAAAAAAAACAAGCCTTTTGACGCATTAAACTTCAGTCTTATATTTTATAGTGCCACATGGGGCCCTGGAGAGTCACTGAAATGTATTAACTTTTCTGGGAGGTCAAAGCAACTGTTTCTGTTAGTTGCAACTTAAATCATACCTGGCTCTGTGCCTTCAAAACCGCAGATGTGAGCACTTTTTAAAAATATGAATGGCAGAGCCCACAGGAAACAAACAACACACGCACACACATTCCAAAAATATATTAAATGACAATTATCACACAGTGATCACACAAAAAGTGCTTGGAGAGGACACATACCAGCTGCAGCCAGGCATTTGTGATCATCACTTGGTTCTTTTCATCCTGGAGGGAAACAGGAGGGGAGAGAAAGAATAATCAGCAGCGAGTAGAAATGGCTTTTATACACAGTGCAGTTTGAGAAGAAAGGAAAAAATGAATACTGCACGTCTGGTAAACACAAGGTGAGATTATCAGACAGATCGGCAATAAAGTTGAACTGCAACCCAGATGACTTTGATTTTCCTTTTTACTAGATTCTTGTAATGCAACAGAAGTAATGTTCTGCCATTTTAAACAACAATGAAATCATAAATAATTAGGACATTTAAAAAAAGATTCAAATACGTAGGACAGGCAGGAATTTGCACTGGAGATGGACAGTGACACTGAGGATTCAGCAAAGAGCGTCTACAGCAGTTTCTAGCAACATCATGAAAACAGAAACACACAAACTCAGTGGCTCCTGCTGCATTTTATGATATTTTACAAGGGTCAGTTCATGGTCAAATGGTCAGAAAGAGAAAAAAAATTGGGGAGAGTGAGATGAATCTGGATTGACAGAGAGAGAAGCAGAACAGAGGCTGAGATAATTCATGAGACAGCAAGAAGAAAAAAGATAGAAAGAGGTCAGAAATAGTGGCACAAGGAAGAAGAGCAAAAAGAAGAAAAAAAAACAACAACACCTGAGGATGTATTTAGAGTCTGTTTTGCAGAATCCTATATGACAGCGACAAGTTTTGCTGCTTGTTACACACTGGTATGCTGTGTGTCTGACGCATTACCTCCCTCTTACCCCTGACAAAAAGTGCAAACTGCTTGACAGTAGTAGCACTTGTCATGGATTCATCATTTTTTACTTTCACTTAAGTGATTTATCACTTTATCTTCTACCACCGCCGGTTCAACCCTTTGAAAACGTTTCCTTTAATGTTACTGTGGTAAAATCAAATCATGAAATCAATTTGCTCACTTTATTTCTTCTATTTCTCACCCCACCAGACCTAATCTACTGTATAGCTTTCTTTCTTATCGCAGTTTCATACTGTTCTCGCTTGATTCATCTTGCCTTTTTTTTTCTCTCTAAGGAACAATTTCAGTGGTGGAATCTGAAAAATTAAACTTAAAATGAAAATATGTTGAGAGATAGGCACAGAGGAGTGTGCTTAGATTTAACCTTAACTGAATTACTGTTCTCATTCTTCATCAAGGGGCCATATCAGTGCTTTTGAAAATGCTTGACAGTAATGTAAATGAAACTGGCATAACAAGCAGTATGGTGCTTTTAAAGGTCTTTGAAAAGAAAAAATGTGGTTATCTCATTGTACAGTATTCTTAGGTGATTTCATTTCAATAAATTAGATTATAGTGCATAAGCCTCTCTTGAGCCACTTAAATCAGCTCAGGGCATCAATTCATCGACTTTTAAAAGGTCTGGGGTTTTCATGACCTGTAAAATTGTTTATCTGTCTCCTTTAGAATTCCCTCCATCCTCCAGAATAAGGACTTTATTGACAGCGATGCAAATGAACATAGATATATTCGCTCAAGTTTGGGATCACCACAAGTACAACCACTAATACAAGTATGAATATTGTTTTTATAAATAACTTAGTATATGAAGCACATATTTTCAGTACTCTTGAAAAAACATATTTTATATAACTAATGACTCCAACTATCTCTGTAGTACATAGAATTCCTGAAAGATCAACAAAAGATGCTCAAACTTGGTGCTATTAACTACAAGCAAAGCAAACTCGCTGCTCTTAACTTCTCCTTGTAGTGAAAATCGATCTTCACACAATCGGTGCTTCTCTCTTTCATCCCCGCCTCCTCCCTACCTCCCTCTGCGCTGCAATCTTATCTCCACCTGTCCTTTCTGATCTGTCCCTCTTTTAAACAGCCTCCTTTCTCCACTGCTGAAACAGAACAGCCTCCCATTGTGTGCTTCACAAAGCAACATTTTTCTGTTCTTTTGGTGGTATGTGTGTGTGCGATCGAGCTTGCAATCGTGGAGATTTGGCTTTGGCTTCGAGGTTGCTGTGTTTTCGCTCTATTCTGTGCCTGACCTCTCTTTTGTGGTGTTTTGTGGGATTTTGCTCAGTTGCTATAGGCAGTATCAGCCCTGTCACACCCACTATAAACACTCTAATCTCCTTATAAATCTACTGTGATTGGCTTTAGACAGACTGGCAAGGTTGTGATGGACACCTGCATTCAATGAAAGCTCCTTAACTGTATTTTATTGCAAGTCATCTCACATCATATAGCCAAGGACAATACATGTCGTCCCATATAAATGAATTGGTGCTTTACTGTAAATCTCCCTGTATATTGTTCCAGAAAGGGTTTTTTATCTGTGCAATTTGTCCAGTTTTATCCCCAGCAGGGAACAATAGGATAACTTCCTACATGTTTTCTTTCAATCCAGATCAGAGGATCAGTGTTTCAAAGATACTAAATCAACAAACAATGACAATATCTCAAAAAATCGACTGTGTTTTCTGTACTTGGCTCGCCTTAGATTTTCACCAATTTCCTTTAAAATAGATCTTTAACTGAACAGGATGCCCTCGTGTTTGAATGGTTCAATAGATTTGGTTGAATTCCTGCTGCACCTCAACATAGTGTGTGTAGATGAAACAGCCTGGTTTAGCAGGAGCACAATGAGAACTGTCTCTCTACATATACTTTCTGTCTGAGGGTTGATAGAATGAAATGTGAACACAAGCACTGCAAACTGCAAACTATTTTGTGCAAAGCAGCATTTATTAAGACGAATGTTTCTGAATGTGTGAACCTTTATCAGGAAGACTCATCTGAGTTGTAAACTCAGTGTTTCTCACCCAAACGCACTGTGTTTATCCTTGAAGTACTGTACAAGAGTATTTCCATTTCATACTACTTCTACTCCAGACAAATATTATAACTTTTACTCTGCTACATTTATTTCTCAGAAGTTATTTTCAGATTAAAAAGAAGACAATAAGCGAATAAAATGGAATACGAAAAGGTCTGCCTTTGCTATGTTTGCGAGCACATTATTGCTACTAACTGTTAATCAGTGGAACAGCGTGAAACGAAGTGCAGGACATGAGTCATGCTTGCACAAACAAAACACACACACACACACACACACTCGTAACAATGCTCCAAAGTGCCGAGCTGGCCTTCTTGCTGTTTGTCATATTTTTTAAGCTCATATTATGTTCTGTATGTAAAATCTCAAATTGTAACATAGCTAGTAATAAAAGAAGTCAAATAAATGAAGTAAAAAGTGCAATATTATATTTGATATATTATATGTATATGAAGTAGATATATAGCATTAAACAGAACTACTAGAGGAAAGTGCACATACTTCAAATCTGTAAATAGGTAACTTAAGTACAGTATTTAATTACTGAAATGTATTTAGTTACATTCCACCACTGAACCTGGGTTTGTTTGTCAGCTACATAATGCACATGGTGGCCCTTCCTGTCCTGGATGGGAACCGGTCTGTGTATCTGTCATTATTCATGGCGATGAACCCAGTCTGTGGTCATCAACCTGCCCCAGTTCCCGGGTTAGAGAGTGACCAAGGAACAGATGGAGGGATCAAAGGTCACAGTTCACAAACACACACACGCACAAACGGCTTTACATTCTTAACAACTGCCCAGTAAGCATTAATTCACTTGGCCTTGCCAGCTTATCCATTATGTATCAAGTCAGTTAACAATGTACTATACATTTATAGCAAACACACACATATATATAAAACATATACAACAACTGATACTGACTATAACAGCACATAATATAAGAACAGCACATTATTTGTAACTTTAAAATCAACACCAAATCAATAACATCTTAAATTAAACCATCCTTCAAACTCTAAGAATATATTGTTGTTTCATTATGTGCTGTAGGAGACTTGCCCATATTAATAATAGAATGGGAATCCTATATTACAGCCCAGTGTAAGACTCTTACCACCATGTAGTTATCATGAGAAGACATACACGTCTTGTGACAGGACTGGCTCAGGGATGTGACGGGGTGTCGGCTTGGGTTTTTTGGATGAGCGCTTCGGCTGTGTGGTGGGACTAACAGGCAGGAGGTTATGTGCGGGTTTGAGAGAGGATAGGTGCATGAATTGGGGAATGGGAGGAACCACACAATAAAGCACAAGGAACAAAACATAAAATGAGATGTGACAGAAAATCTGCCCAAACCACAGAAGTGTCGATTTAAGAGCTGAGGGCTTGACATGAAAAAGAGTGAAAGGGAGAATTGTGGCCACATTGAGCTAAATGAGGTTTCTGTGTGTTTCTGGGTATGTTTTTGTGTGTGCGTTTGTGGGTGTAAAATGCAGGTTGTACACATACCAACTGATGTTTTGAACAAAGATTTTCTCTTAAGAAACAATGTTATACATGAAAATGAAGAAGAAACATTGGTATTGGGTTTGGGGAGTGTACAGAAAGTGTAAAGTAATATTTTGGCATTTTGGGAAATACACTTATTCGCTTTCTTGCTGAAAGGACAACTTAGATACCACTTTCATGTCTGATAAATATAAGGTTATAGTTAGCATCCAGTTAGCTTAGCTTCTGTTCAAAGGTAAACAAAAAAAAATGCTCCTGCCAGCACTTCTGAAGCTCATTAAAACAGCCAGTGTACCAACTGGACAGACATTGTTAGCTAGCTTACAGCTAGCTAACAATGTCGTACAGCGACCGCGTACAGTGTCAGAGTAAATTTGTGTGGCAGCTCAGCCTCTAACTGAACTCAGAACTCGCTACAGACTCTGGTTGTTTCCCTCCAGTCTCTCTCCTTTTCCTTTTTGCCCCCGTAGGTTTATGAAAAAGATTGATAAAGTCTGTGATAAGGAATTTTCACTCAAGCTGAAAAATATTCAACTGGCATGGCGGACCAGGGCGAATTTGCATCTAATTGCATCTTTTCATAGAATATTTATGCAATCGTTCTACCTCTGTAATTTACAATTTGCTTGGTGTTCTGTCTGACTTCACAGTAATGGTTATAGTGAACCAGCTGAGACTCCTCAACTTGATGTTTTTACTCTTCAGTCATTATGTTAAGCTAAGCTAACCATCTCCTAGCTGTAGCTTCATATTTAACGGACAGAAATGAAAGTGGTATTGAATTATTCATCTACTCTCAGCAGGAAAGTAAATCAGTGTTTATTTCCCAAAATGTTAAACCATTCCTTTAAAGGAGACATATGAAAATAGTTATGATCAAAATGGAAAAAAAGGTCAAAGAGGGAAATGAAAAAAAAAATGTGAACGGGCATATCTCAATTTTCTTGTCGAATGAGAGAAAGAACTGAGGGCATGTAGTGCCACCAAATGAAAAAGGTTTGAGGGCAGACACAAAGTACTTGCTCCTTCTAAGGCAAATATTCTCACTTGGTTGGGTGCTGCCACTGGGGGAATAACAGTTTCAAGTTCAGAGGAAGATGAACAGCAGTAACTGCAAAGTATGTGCATTAGCATGCACCACAGTCAGTTATCAGATAGAATAATATAAACAAAAAAACTCCAGAAAAACATCCAAAATGCAAAAAGTTTGACAAAAAGTGTTCAACTTTCTCCTTCTAACGCTGAGTTGATTTCCAAAACAAATTCCACATACATCCTCACTTTTTTTAACATACTCTCGTGCTGTCAAAACACACACAGGCACACACACTCACCACGTCAATGATTTGTAGCAGTGTGAGGCCGAGTTCCACCACGATGGGTGCAGAGTCATTTTGGACAGGTCTTTCCAGCCGACTGTAGTTTACCATCAGGTCACGATAAAGCTTCCTTTGGTACACACCACCATAACAACCTGCAGCAGGAAGAGGATGCACAATGAAAACGTGAGAGGAGAAGCATCAATGGCACAAAAGGGAAGGAAGAAAGAGAAGAGGGTAAAGGATAGAAGTCGTTTGAGGTGTAGGTTGGGAAAGGAGGGGGAACAATTAAATAATAATTGATGGGGGGTAACAGAGAAGGCAAGAAGAGTAACAGGTGAGAAACAGAAGAATGTCATGATATGTATAAAAAGAGACAGACGCAATGGTGGCAGAAACTAACAAATTAATTTTGTACTGTCTTTAACAAAGACTCAATCAACCCTGTGCTTTAATAAGACATACTGAAAATGTCACACATAGGCCCATTAATGCCTGTAATCTTATCAGTGCTATTGTTATTTCCAACATTGTTCATGCTGCACCAAATCCCTCAAGAAACCCTGATTAAGTCGTGATGTGCTGAACATAATGAGCACTTTATTAACTCATTGAACTTTAATTGTGTTGACTGTGTTTTCGTTTTGTCTCTCCTGTATTCATTAGGCCTCATCAAGAGGTTTACACTGAACAATGAGGCATTCATCTTTAACAGGAACAAATATTACAGCGCAGTCCCTGATGCACAAGGAAAGTCAGTCGGTCACAGAAGCTGGCCTCGTTCCTCTTCTACGAATACTTCTGTAAGAGGAAAATTTGACGCAAAAAAGCTTTGACTGATCAGGAGAGTCTATCTCACATAAGGCAGGTTTGCTAATTTTTCATTTTTATTTTATGATACTGTAGAATCAAGTCAACATCATCAACCTCCTGACACACAATCCTGCATCATGTTGGTACTGACCAAATAAAATGATTCCATGTCCCTAAACTCCTCTCATTTGATTTAATTTTGGGTCCACATTAGCTTAATTGAAATAGAGGCTATTCTACCTGGGTTCCGCGCACAGGACATTAACAGAAAACAAAATCACACTGCAACACACATACCACCAAATCGCAACATATGAACCAGACAAACATAAAAAAAATACAAAACAACAAACAGCTCAGTGAAACACTATACAGCTAAGTAACATTGCTAAGTATTTCATATGTCACTGAAGGACATTTAACAAAACAGTTAAACACGGAAGCGCAATTGATATTTTAGCTACTGTAACTAAACTACTAACTAACTAACTACTGTGAAAGTAAACACTAAAATTTGTCTTTCTTTGTTTTCTTAATTCCAAGCACAGGCAAAAAGTTAACAATAATGAACAGTATTTAATACATTTTTATTTATTTTTTTACTGTTTTTATCAAATTTACCACCAGTAGTCCAATACGGTCATCAGAGACTGTCCTCGGCTGAAGAATGACAGCCCCAGTTGTTACAGTGAGTGCCGCAAAACCACAGAAAATGATGCAAAAACATGACCACTTGTCACCTTTCCCCTCCTTATGGGGGAAAGACCCCTCCCCATATTTTTCTCAAACATGTCAAATATGCCTTAAACATGGTCATTCACAATCCAGCATTATAGAGAGGTTTAGATTGTTGAACTGGCCAAACAGGCACAACCTTCACATGCAACACTATCATTTAAATGTTTTAGTGGTATCACTTATACTAATCCTTTAAGTCCCGATGTTTAACATTCAGTATACAAACATTTAATAAATGGTTTATAACATAGTTCTAAGCAGATATAATGTTTATTTATAAAAACAATAACTTATCCTGTGGGCTGCAATAAGCAGAGGCTGGTATCTGAACAGATAATATGATATAATTGTTGAAAAATACTGAACATTAATAAACACTTGAGGATTGTGTCATTTTCCTAATATAGGAATCATTTGAAAGATACCATAATCACATAAAAATTCCAAGCACAGTGGCTTTAAGTCTCACGTCAAGGTTGCCACCAGCACAACATTTACAAAACTTCCAGACTCCCTCATCCGTCAGTGTCTCATCTCAGCCAGAACTGAAAAGGTCTCAGCCTGCATCTCCCCAGTGACCCCTTTCCAAATTAGATGTTGTCTCAACATATTCCAGCAATTACAGAGTGACAGCCAAGACGTGAGTGCAGCCACAATGACTGATTGGATGACTAATTAGCTAATGAGGGGAAAGATAAACAAAGACAGCTCGCTGTGTGTCTGTGCGAGGGTGTCGGCGAGTGTCAGATGGGGTACCCCTAAATCTTGGCGTGACAGGGGATCTGCATAATGGGTGGGAGTGGCAGCCAGCAAAAGTGTTGTGAGTCGATGGAGTGAAGCGAGCCAAGCAAAAACAAGCTGAACACAGTTGGGCTTAACAGTAAAGAGCCCTGACAGAGAACCACTGGAAAAACGAACACATCTGTGAATGGGTGGTGACCTGGGATATACTGCAGTTAATCTATAATAGTAAATTTAATTAAGTCAATCCACCTATTTCCTAGGGGAATACATCAGGTGTTTGTTTGCTACGAAGTAAACATTGAATATCTGTTTTCTACAATAATTCTTCTTCTCCTTTAAATAGCAATATACCTCCTGCCCATGAGACAGAATATGGTACACAATAGGTTCTGCACAATTTGTTGTCCAGGCTTCATGCAGAGAAACACGGAGAGCACTTCTTACTCCATGAGGGCACAGCAGGGCTATCTTTATAGCGCCTTTCAGCAACAAGACATTCAAAGCTTTTTACATTAAGGAAAGATATAAAAGAAAGAGATTTTAAAAAGAGTAAAACCAAAATAAAATGATAATAAAAATTAGCTAAAACAGAATAAAATACATTGAAAGGTACTTAGTACACTGCAGCTAAAGTGCAGTTCAAGTCATGAATAAACTGTCCAAAGTTTAATTTAATAAAATGCTGTGGCAAACAGAAAAGTTTTCCTGATGAAACAAACTTTTGGTGACATTGCTGGCCTTGTCAGTCTCATCAGCAGGGCAGCATAGAGCTGTTCTCTTTTTTTGTCATTTTTTCGTTATCAGCAAGGTTGGTGTTACAGAGTGCACTTGGTTGGGGTAGAGGCAGGCGACGTGACAGTGACCTGAGGGGGGGTTGAATTTAATGCAAGCGTTGACCAGCGCTTGCATTTTCTCAGTGAATCCCAAAAGGGAAGCGAGAGACACACATCTTATGAAACCACCTTGGACAGACTGAGCTACTAACTGGTACAGTAGACTGCACTAGATATATTCAGCATGTTTTTGGTTAGTTAGTTGTGATGACTTATCCCAGTGCGTCCTCAGGCAATGTGTCTGTGTGTCTGTGTTATCAGACTGAGCTTTGGTTTGCACCGGGGCATCTTCCTGAGAGCTGCATGTTTATCCCTACAGTGTCCCATATGTGACGCTCCATGTCAGTAGTTGAGTAGTTATGTAAGGTGTCTCTTACCCACCACTCTCTCTGTATGCCTCCTTGTTCTTCATATGTGCTGAATCTTTCTATTCACAATGCCTTATTTAGGTTATAATAGTGCATTGTTTTGCATGTACAGTACCTGGAATAACATACAGAACAATCTAAAACTTACCTAATTTCCATCCTAAGCATATTTCACTACTTTGACAAAATATACACTAACTGTAAATGTAAAGCGTATCATCTCATGAAGATCTTGTTTTTGCTGACCTCCAGTAGTTTAACTTCTCACCTTGCTGTTGTGATGTAGAAGTGTACTTCAGGGTGTGTCAGTACACAATGACATCACTGTTGGGTGTGGTTTAAGTGAAACAGAGCACACTTATGGCCACACCCACCAGTGATGTAATGAGAGGTGAAATATACATTTTACTGCTGCTGAAAACGTACAGATCAATATCACTTGACAAACAGCAATCGAAAACAGTTTTCATTTGACCAAAGAAAATATTCGCCCAAAATATTGTACAGAGAAAACTAGGTGTAATAGTGCTTATAAAAACAATACAAGGAGGCGAAAAACATGATCTTTCTATCAAAGCCTCCTGTTTTGGAACTTGGCACATTAAACCTGAAATATCTTTAAAATAATGGAGGTGTGGTCAATAAACACACTCTATTGTAAAATAGATTTTACAATAAAAAATTTAAATGTTTTAAAATCCATTAACCAGCCCTACAGCTTGTAAAAACATGTCCTGCATTTGGGGGAAAATTGACACAGTCTGACATGACTGGCTAAAGCGTATTCATCAAAGGTTACCTGCGTCCCCCGATATGTTTTTTTTTGTTGGGCTGTTTGTTTCTTAAATCTTCACAATAGAGGTGGTAAGAGCAAATTTAGCTTAATAGTCAGAATGGACACAATTATTAGAATAAAACCCTGGTTGAAATATACACACTATCAATCTTAATGTTAAGTGTTAATGTCTCCCCTACTGTAGCACTGTCTAAAGCAAAGCTCTAGAGAACTCAATAGACCCACAACCAATATTGCCACCACCAGTTACACCAAGAAATGATATTATTCTGCCTTTTTTTTGTCACAAATAGGGTTTTTTTTTTCTGCGTAAGACAACTGGATAAAGTTGTTTTGTCTTTTTCTGACCTTACAAAGAAGTTTTTGTTACAATCACTGACAAGAAAAATGGAAACAGCACTTTGTATTACCTTGCTGTTGACAGGTGCCATACAAATAAACTGGCCTTTCATCACTAGTTTTATACATTTAATTCTGTTGCATTATAGCATATGAATGAATGCAAGAATGGATGAATGAAAGAATGAATGAATGAACGTAGGGACAGACAGATGGACAGATGATTAAACAATTAATTGAAATTAATGAAGTAAAAGCTCAGCCTCAAAGCCTCTCTGCTCCCACGAAACACTGCAAGAAAAAGTGCTGTTAAAGGGTTGTTGTGAGCTATAAGAGCAAATATGTCACCTCTTGTTCAACATCAGCGTACTAGTGTACTCTACTTGGCTGACAGTGTGACCTGTCACGTTAAAGGAGGTCACAAGGGTTTTAAGGAAGACCAGATTTCTGTCTCATTATATGTTGTGGAGCCCTGAGGGCAACTACAGCAGTGTGGTAAATCTAAACAGAAAAAAAAGTGTCCT